AAAAAAAATAGAATACATAAAGAACCCAAGAAAAGGGCAGGCCAGATAGCTCAGTGGATTAAAGCGCCTGCTTGGGCAGATGCAGGAACTGGTGTCCAATACCCGACGTGCCATGCCAGCCCCGTCCCCAGGGCACGCTGAGCCGGTGATTGAGACTGGGTGTGGTGGCACACGCCTGTAATCCCAGTGCTTGGGAGGCTGAAAACAGGAGGATCACTACGAGTCCAGTCTGTGTAGTGAGACCCTGAGACCCTGTATTAAATACATTAAAAAAAGAACCCAAGAAAAATTAGACCCCTCCAAAAATAAAAGATCCAGACAAAGAAATGGACAAGTTAAATGAACAGAACTTCACAGAGGAAACATAAATGGCCAATAAATACATGAAGAAATGCCCCCACGTTATTGGCTGTAGAGAAATGTAAATTAAAACACCACTGAGCTTTTTCGCTTACCCTAGAAGGAATAGCCATCATCAAGAAGGCGAATACTGGGGCTGGAGAGATAGCTCAGTGGACTAAAGTGCTTGTGTAGGCAAGCACAAGGACCCTGGTTCGATCCCCAGCACCATATGCCACGCCAGCCCCGCCCTCAGGGCAGGCTAAGCGGGCCCAAAAAAAAATCACGGGGTTTCTCTTCTATGAGAAATTCAGGGCTGGGGAGATGGCTCAGTGGAATAAGCACTTCTCTGGCAAGTGCAAGGGCCTGAGTTCAATCCCCGGTTCCACCAAAAAAAAAAAAAAAAAGAAAAGAAAAGAAATTCAAAGTGTAAATGAGCGTGAAACAAAACACAAATAATAGGACACAGGGAAGTGGATCTTTCTCACATGGGAAGGGGGTGGAGAGATAAAGTAAGAGGGGACAGAGGGGACAGCAAGGGGATGGAAAGAAGGATCAAGACGCATTATGCACAAGAACACACTCCACGTAAGGAACGTGAACACGCACCACACACAAGTACTAATAAAAATACAGAACTAAGTCAAGCCCTGGCCCGCTTTCCAGCACCCTCCGTCCAGCAGCAAACAGCACCAGGTAAGCCAGTTCCGGTCCTGGCCCCAGTCTCAGCAAAATGCAGAAGTGGAAAACAGCGGAAATAACACAGCAGGCTACGGAACACAGAAATGTGTTCCCAAGCGAACAAGCAGCGCACACAGGGAGGCCTTCGTGCAGCAAGTAATTTGGAGAAGGCATCAGAAGAGTAAATAAGACTCAGGGAAAGGGAAGGAGAGGGGGATCTAAGCAGCCGGGACAGCTCACTCTGGCTCACAAGTAACACGGTGCAAACAGGTGCCGGAGAGGAGCACATCTCCCCAGCAGCAATGAGCCAGAACACACAGTGCACGGCTGCTGTCCGCCAGGCCTGCCCTCCACGTCCATGTTGGATCCCCGGACTATGTTCGGCTACATGGAGGGCAATACAAGGATGCTGCCTGCACCCTGGAACTTTCCCCTTCCAGGGGGAGACAAGAACCATCAAGTTGTGGAGACCAGAGAGCGAGGTATCCAGGGAACAAACCTCTGCCAAGGTCCACAACCTCACCTTGAACACCTTTACCAGCCAGGCAGCCGGTCCGCAAGCAGCCACATGGTCATGGGGAGAGCTATTTTCACTGGGCGGCTTCTCGGTCCTCCGGCCTCCCCCAAATCTGAAGAGGGTACTCACGTCTGACCTCCACCCCAACCCAGATCTCTCCCTTCCGTCTCCAGTGGAGAACACGACTGAAGATCTGTAGTGGACAGGGCCCCATGCTGGACAAGACCGCAGCTCTGGAAAGAACTTTAAAGGGGCCTGCTCAGGGCAGGCGCTGTCAAGAGCAGGCAGAAGGAGGGTTTGGCTAAGGATGACAAGCTGGTGCGAGGAAGGGAAAAGCCGGGGCAAAGGCACTGTGGGAATCGCTGTCTGTTTCGCCAATAACCTCACATTTCCTTACTATAAACTAATACATTAAAAAAAATAAAAATAAAAAATAAACATGTATTTCCTACAAAAATTTCAGAAATGTGTAGATGGACCAAAGGAAAGGATAAAAATGGGCTACCCCCAACACAGCCCAATTGGTGTTTTTGTATATCCTTCAAGACATTTTCTCCATGTAAGTACTGTATGTAGGTTTTAACTAGTCTTGTGCTATTCCAGACCATGAGGTATTTTTCTCCAGATTTTTTTTTTTTTTTTTTTTTTTTTTTTTTTCTTTTCTTTTTTTTTTATTTTTTTTTGCAGTACCAGGGATCAAACTCAGGACCTTATGCTTGCCAAGCAGGTGCTTATGCTACTGAGCTATCTCCTCAGCCCCTCCACCATTATTTTGAAATTTTAAAAAATCTTTTATTTATGTATTTGGTACAGGATCTCACTATACAGCTCAGACTCAAGTGATCCTCCTGTCTCAGCCTCCCCAGCACTAGGATTACAGGTGTACAACACCATGCCTGGTTTCAGTGGCTGGCTCATCGCAGGGTGGCATGGCATGCTGTACTGGGGATTGAACCCAGGTCCTTGAGCTTACCAGGCAGGTGCTTAGACTACCAAGCTATCTCTTCAGCCCTCTTTCTCTTTTTTTAAAAAGCTAATTTGACATTACCAATGAATCTGGGTACTCCCAAGTTCTTTAACAATCCAGATGCCTCCCTTTTCATTAATTCCTACATAACCACAAACCCTCATAGCCATAGGCATCCCATCCTCCCATCAAACTCCTCTCTACAGGTTAGGGGAGGTTGCAGCTTGTCCCTCAGCCAGCCACCTTGGTCCAGAGCTGCCTCCTCCCCCATGGGGTCTCTTTGTGGCATTCTGTAACTTGTTCCACTGGCTGTAGTCTCCCTGTACCACTGTATCCAAAAAGTCATCAAACACCCTATATCCACTGTGGTCCCTTTGAAAATACCATAATAGCTTGAGTCTTTCCAACCAAGCAACTTGAACACGTGTAACTAGATGATGGGAGAGTTGGGCTTCAGTCAGGACCAGGAAGCTGCTGCGAGCTAAGGGGAAGATGGAAGAGTAGATGTTACCTGAGCCCAGGAAGCAGCTTGGCTGGTGGACCTGTCCGTCAGGTACTAGAGCTCCACAGACTCGGTCATTGCTGGAGATGCTGCCTCTGGCAGAGAAGGCCCTGCCTTCCTCTGTCCTCCACCCTGCCATGGGCTCCCCTGAGCAGGGAGCCGTCAACAAAGGCCTCTGGGAAATGCTATTTCTCATAATTACAGTAAATGACTCACACAGCCCCTGATTTATTCTCTCCAAATCATAGCTTGGATTTGGATGCTTGATCAAACAAACTTTAGCAAAGACAGAGCTAGTAACAACTAGAGTGTATTAAAAGGAAACCAAATCATACAGCCCCTTACACCCAAAAGGCCGACCCCTGGGCTGAAGGTGTAGCCTGCCTAGCATGCACAAGGCCCTAGGTTCTTCCCTAGCCCAGAAAAACAACAACAACCAAATTTTCCCAGGATCCTAGGGGGCCCAGTCTGCTCCCAAAGGCCTTGGTTTGCCTTTACGCTGCTGGGCCATCCAAACTTGCCCGATGGGCTGGGGTCTTTGATCAAGCCCACCCCAGCTTGAGTCTAGGCCCCTACAACCTTCTCTGCAGCTCACCAAGAGGTAGCAAACAACTTCTCAAATGCCCACCTACCCTGTCATTGCCAGGAAGTTCAGGGGCACCTCTGCAGACACTATCTTCCAGCAGAATGACGCTGGGGAGCCACATCTTTCTTCATGGCCCTGCTCTGAATTTTGCCTCTTTCTCTAGCATAGCACCAAGAATCCCAGAGGTCTGAAATCAGATTTTTTTTTTTCTAACCTTTTGCTGATCACAGCCCCAAAATTCAGGTAAGAGGGCCTGGACCCCACCCTAGCACCCTCACGAGCTGGATGCTGTTCCTAAGCACACTGACACTGGGGTCAGCACCTGGGCACCAGACACCCTAGATCTTCTGCCACACCAGCAAAACCAAAGCACTTAAAGTCAAAGCTTTGTCGCAGGGAGCATTTGGGGTTGGTTTTGGTTCTCCTCCTTTGTCCCGTTATTTTCTTCAGGGGGAATCCCCCAGGAATGAAATTACTGGGACAAAAGATAGGCACACAGTGCAAGCTTTGACATAGGACCAGCTGCTCTCTGATAAGCCCATATATCATGGAGTCTATGCCTTCTCTGCCTCTCGGCTCCCTGATAGATCGCTGAAGAGTCTTGGGATGAATCAGCCACCGAACCAGATAAACAAGCCTGCCCGTGCAGTGGCTGCTTTCCACAGGAGCGAGGGAACTCCCTTGGATCCCACCCAGGACGTGGAATTCCAGAGCACAGGGCCAGGCACCTTTGCACCCTGCCCCCACCACCCAGCCCTGCCCTCCCCTCCTTTCCCCGCCTTGTGCCGGGTGGAGCCAGTGCCAAGGCGGCAAGGTTTCACAGCCTGTCCTCTGTGCAGGGCCTGAGTGGAGGCCCGGAAGGGTCCGGGCCGGGCCAATGAAGACCCTACTAACCATCCTAGCTGTGGGATCCCTGGCTGGTAAGTGCCCCCATCCTGTGGCCAGATCCTCCCCATGCCAGGAGCCAAGATCAGGGCTGTCACTCTGTGCCCTGTGCAGCTTATCATTTTCTTCCAGTTTCATTTTCTTCCCAACTTGGGTTGAACCAGGTGCCAGGCTTTCTAGGGAACAGGTGGCCAGCCAAGGGGTCTGGGGAGAGCTGAGGGGCAGGCGCTATCCAACCCTGGCTTTTCCCTGGGAATCAAATGATCCTGGGACAGGAGGGTCATAGCCAGCTGTCAGAATGGAGGTGCTGGTTCCCTGTACCCCATCAGCTGGATGATTGGCTTGGGGGAGTCAGACACCCTTTGACCCCTCCCATCGCTCAGCCATGGTTTGCCAGCTCTTTCTCTGTTTCTGAGGGGAAGGGAAGAGGGATGGGTTGGTGGAAGCTATTACTTCTCTCCATGGGGCCCTTTGGCTAGATGGGAAGAGCATTTCCTCCCAGCATAGCCCAGAGGGCTGCGCTCAAGGCTCTTGAGGCAACAGGGTCTCGGGCCCACAGGACTACTGGGCATCCTTGGCAAATCCAATAAAGCAGACTTTTGGATCTATCATGGCGGAGACTAGATGTGAGACCCAGGGTACATCTCTGTTCTCCTGTCATGGTACCCAGGGTACCCTCTGAGGAAGCCAGAGCACAGCCCTGATAGGCAAGGGGGAGGCATGGACTTTTGTCCAGCACAGGATAAAGCCCATGAAGGGACAAGAGCTGCCCTACCCAAGCTCGCCCTGGCCAGTGTCGGTAGGACCCTATCTGTAGGCTGTACTCCCTGGCCTTAGCTGAACAACCGCACACTTTGGGCCCAGAGGGCCCTGAGGGTTTGGTACAGCAGCTACAGAGCTGCTCATGTCTCAGGCCCCTTAGCATGCGGCCCTGGGAAGCTACCTTACAGAGGTCATCCAGGGCCAGCTGCAGCCTCTGCAGACAAAGCCCCTCACTCCTCAGTCTGGCCGAGCCCGGGTCCTGTTGGATCGTTGCTATGTTTTTCCTTAGCTTCCCTGCCAGTTGATAGATTATTTTTCCACGCAAATGTGAAAACCTGCCTTTATTTATAAAGTCAGCCAGTCCGCCAGGCTCCAAACAACACACATCTCCAGGGTTTCACAATGTAGACTTTCAACCAGGAAGTACAGAAATGACACCGGCAGGATGGATTTGGGAAGGGACAGGAGCACGTGACCCAGAGGTGCTGGGGGCCTACAGGAGAGGAGCCAGCAGGGTCTGTCCACCTCACTTCGGCAAGCCAATTTCCACGTCCTCTTGAAACGTGGAGCCAGCTGCACCCCAGCATCCTTTACCAGTCACCCAGATAGACAGCTTGCTCAGGACACGCCCCCTCACCCGCAGCCTTTCCCACCGCAGCCACGCCTACCCAACCGTCCCCTTCCAGCCCTTCACCTCCTGCCCCAAAGCCGCTTTCCAGTCCACTTCCACCGCACTCACTCAGGTCTAGACCCAGCCCTGAATTCCAAGATCCCTCCCTCTCACACCCACAGGCTCTGCTAAGACCAGGGCCCAAACAGGAAGTCAGGAGTTAGCAGGAGTGAGATCTCCCACATACTCCGAGACCCCACCCTGGGGGCTCTGAGAGCCTAGAAGATGAAGGTTCCCACAGCTGGGCCAGACAGACACAGAATCAGAGCAGAGAGGCGTCCCAATAGTGCGACATTAGCACTCGCACTGGCCTGCTCACCGGCCTCACAAGGGCCTCTCCGAGCCCATTCAGTCCTCTTGAAGACACTGTCTGCAGACTTGGAGGGTGGCAATCAAGATTGTCCAGTCTAGACATACAGCAGACGTGAGCACACAGGCCTCAAGGCCTTGACTGCACGGCGCCTGCACCTGTTGACTTCCCAGGCTGCCCTGAGCACGCTCAGTACTGGCGACCCCACCCTAGCCGCCGTCCTCCTGCCCTTTTCCTCTCCCCCACCAAGCCCGGGCTTTGGCACTGACAGTGTGGGCCCACCCCCCACACCTGTTTGGTGCCGTCTTTGCTGCCCCCTTCGTCTGCAGCAGTAAGCCAAGCGGAGCACTGGATGTCAACTACTTTTAAAATTTATTTTTTGACTGTAGGGGCTGAACCTAGGGCCTTGAGTGCGTTCTAAGCAGGCTCACTGCCCCTGAGCTCCCCACTGATCCCAGCAGCATGCCGCTCTCCCCCTTCCTACCCTCACCAGGGTTTGAGGCCACCAAAGCCCCACCCTTAGTGGACCAGGCCCCTTCTACACTGTGGGTCTCCCCTCCCTGTCCAGCCCCCTCAGACTCAGCACACACTCAGCACACACCTGGCTGTTCTGCCCTAAGGACCTTCCCAGACCTTGCTCTCAGCATTCCCACCCCACCATTCTCACACTATAACTGGCAGCTCTGTCACTGCCTACTGTGACACTGGGCAACGTTTTTTGTGAGTCTCAGTTTTTCTCTTCCACAGAATGGGGACAGCAGTAGAAACTGGTTATCATCAGACTGTCAGGATGTTCAGTAAAGTGAGAGGCTTGGGCCTGACGTGGCCTTCACAAACATCTGCCCCTGCTCTTGTCATTCTTGTGTCACTAGGTGGGGTGAATTATTCCCAATTAGATACAAGGAAATTGAAATTTTGCTAGCTTCAACAACTTCCTGGGCTGGGTGTGTAGGTCAATGGTATACCAGTTGCCTACATGTGTGAGGCCCTGAGTTCAAGTCCCAGTATCACACACACACACACACACAAATTTAGACAAAGCTACCCAACAATTCCACTCAGTTATATGTCCCAAGGATTTTTCTTTTTTAAACTGGGGATTGAACTCAGGACCTTGTGCTTGCCAGGCAGGTGCTGTGCCGCTGAGCTATATCCCCAGCTGCCCAAGGAAATTAAAAATACATGCACACTTCAAACTTCCTGCACAAATCTTCACAGCAGGGTTATGCACAATAACCAAAAGGTAGAGAAAACCGTGAAGTCCACCCACTGATGCGTGGATAACTAAAATGTGGTCTGTCTACTCCGTGGAATAATTTTTCAGCCATAAGAAAGGACCACAAGTGCTGATTTATGCTACTGTACAGATAAATCTTGACAACGTTAAGCTGAATAGAAGAAGGCACAAGAACCCTGTGCACATGAAGGGTCCAAGAGAGGCAAATCCAGAGAGACAGAAAAGAGACTTGGCGTTGCTAGGCACCAGGCTGGGGGAGGCCGGGGCTTGACCGTTGTGGCCCTTGAAGGTGATGGCTTTGTGCTTGAATCAGTGCCGGTGATGGCAGTGCCCTCTACGGGTGGCTGGGGCCGGCGTCCACGAGCCCACCACTCACCCTCCTCCTGCTCACCCTCTTCCCGCTCACCCTCCTCCCACTCTGGCAGCTCACATTGCGGAGGACTCTTCCAAGCTGCTTCAGCACGTGAAATTCCAGTCCAGCAACTTTGAAAACATCCTGATGTGGGACAGTGAGCCGGACAGCATCCCCGGCACGGTCTACAGCGTGGACTACAAGACGTAGGTCTCCCAGCCCCGCGACCCCTAAGACTCCGCCCTACAAGCAGCCCTACCCCAACATCTCCCACTCCTAAGGCCCGGTGCCCACAGAGCTCTGCTTCTTTCCCTTCTACAGGCTCTGCCTGGGAAAAGCAACAGTCTCTCCATCCTGGGGTATCAGGCAGTTGACATAAAATGAAGTCACTAGTCATTGTGCCTGACAAATAGGATGCTACCAATTGTTTTGTTATCATTGGTGGGAGAAGGTGCATACACAGCTGTGCCCACCAGCCCAACCTGTGCGTTCATCAGGCTCTTCTCTCTTCTCATGCTGCCAGGGAGGAGGATAAACAGGGGCTCAGTAATTTGCAAAACTCGGTCCCGTTTATGGTCCCGCCTCTTCATCCTGTGGCAAGTCTCTTGCCCTCTCTGAACCTCATTTTCTTTTTTTTAATTATTTTTTTTATTTTTTTATTTTATTGAGAAACAAATATGAATGAGACAGTTTCCAAGATGATTAATAGGACAGTTTTGATAATCAATACACTGTACATTGTTATCTTCTTTTTTTTTAATTTATTTATTTAAATTTATTTATGTGTGTGTGTGTGTGTGTGTGTGTGTGTGGCCAGCTCAGCCCACCAGGGGGCGGGGCTGGCTGGCATGTGGTGCTGGGGGATTGAACCGTGGTCCATGTGTTTTGCTAAGCTTGTTCCAAGTAGGTGCTTTAGACCACTGAGCCATCTCACCAGCCCTGTTATCTTCTTAGTGGTTATCCATAGTACAAGAAGCAGACAGGATATTCTGTCCAAACACTGTTAGTACACCTCTTTCCTCTCATTGAATTAAGCAAAAGTAGCTGTATATCTATCTTATTTTGTATATATAAATATGAATGATATTTCCTTTGTATCCCCTTTGTTTAGTCCTGTCAGAGGTGGGTATTCTATTGGCATCTAAATACTATAGGTGCTTGAATTCAGCTAAACAATCCAACACTGTCCAGCAGTCTATAATATTAATGGGTTATCCTCAGAAGTTATTGACCTGAGCCTTTTACAGCTTTACTTATGTACCTCGTTTTTATATTTTTCTGCTGGATGGTTAAGACCAGGATAAAGCAAGACCTATATAATAAGAAATATAACTTTTGTATCTGATAAGATCAGTCAAGTACTCTCAGGATTTATCCTGTAGCCCTGTACAGCACTCTGTAGATCCTTTGTCAGTGTCAGCCATAAGGCTGAGTCACGGCCATTGCTTGACCAATTTGCTGAGCCTCAATTTCCCCATCTGTGAAATGGGTATAAGGGCTGGGGAGATAGCTCAGTGGTCCAAGCACCTGCCTGGTAGGCACAAGGACCCAAATTAGATCACCGGTACTGCATGTCATGCCAGCCCAGAAACTGGGCAAGACGGCGCACACCTGTAATCCCAGCACTGGGGAGGCTGAGACAGGAAGATCACTGTGAGTCTGAGCTGTGTGGTGAGACCCTGTGTCCATTTAAAAAAGAAAGAAAAGAAATAGGTATAATAAGATTTGCCGTAAAGCCTTTTGGTGATTATGAGCCTGAAATGAGGGCTCAGGCTGGCTGGATTTGAATCCATCTCACTGTGTGTGTGCTTCACAAGCATGGGTACATTTTATTTCTCTTAGCCTCAGCTTCCATATTTCAAAAAGAAAAAAGATAATATACACACCTGAGAGGTCATTGTGAGAACTAAGATTATTCACATGAAAGGCCCCGGGACACAGAAGGCACTAAGTAAATATTAGATATTGTTATCATTATTAATAAACCACAGGCCTAGGGGGCTGTTCCCTAACAGTGTGCCGGCTGTCCCTTGCCCCCAGGTACGGAGAGCCACAGTGGCTGGCAAAGGCAGGCTGCCAGCGGATCACCCGGAAGTCCTGCAACCTGACCATGGAGACAGGCAACCTCACTGAGTTCTACTACGCCAGGGTCACGGCTGTCAGCTCAGGTGGCTTGTCAGCCACCAAGATGACCGAACGGTTCAACTCGCTACAACACAGTGAGTCAGAGTCCCCATGTGTCCAGCGTGAGGGGACCATCAGCCTCTGAGCCCTGGAGTGGACTTAGGGTGCAGAAGGGCTCCATCCCCCATGTGCATCAGAGATGTGGCTTTCAGGGACAGCATCTCCTACCACTACACCCCAGCCTGGCCACGGTGACACAGCCAGAGCCCCCGAGCCCCTTCCCTCCTCTGCCTCTGGCCCTCCTCAGAGCAAGCTGAAGGGACCTGCTCAGCACTGAATCCCACCTTCTCTTTCCCCACTTCAGACCTTCTAGCACTTTCTCATGACCCTTCTCAGAAAACCCTGTGCTTGCCTTGGCCCACACAGCCTGACTCTTCCCCCTGCGGTTCCTACCTCTCTGCTCCTTCTGCTCCTTCTCCTCACACAGCAGGCTCCTTCCCAGGCCTTAGGGCCGGGCTCACTGCAGACTCCTTAGAAATTGTCCCCATCCCTGCCCTGACTGCCTGTGGGGCCAGCAGGTGCCGCCTGCCACTCTCCATCCCAATGCATTTGGTCCCCAGTCCCCACAGGGCCTACACCCACAGAGTCAAGCAAATTGGAAGAACAATACTTGCAACACTGTTGCCTCTGTACTAAGTACACGTGTACTTTGTTCCTCATCCTTATTCCCTAAATAATAGAAATATAATGTAATGACTCTGCACAGGCCACTGACTTTCAATCAGAGTTCTGAGTCATCTAGAGGTGCTACAGAGTATATGGGAGGACTTGTGTAGTCAGTCAACTAGGCAATTTTACACAAGGAACTTGAACACTGGCAGATTTTGGTGTCTGGGTGGTACCCAGAGCCACTGCCCCAGGATGGGAAGGGACCACAGTTCCCTGCTCATTTGCTTGTAATGCACACCACAGCTCATAAGTGATGCTGACCAACTGACTTTAATCAGTCAGATGTGATTGTTTTAAAAAAATACAATAAGGCTTGGGAGAGAGCTCAGTGGCAAAAGCGTCTTCCTAGCAAACACAAGGTCCTGAGTTCGATCCCTGGTGCCCAAAACATTAACTAATCAATTAAAATTAAAATAAGTTTCCTGGGCTTTTTCTTGGTTTGTTCAACTAATTCATGCTAAAGATAGGAAATGTGAAAAAAAAAAAAAGAGGGGGGGCAGGGAGATGGCTCAGTGGAATAAGCGCTTCCCTGGACAGCGCAAGGGCCTGAGTTCAATCCCCGGTTCAGCAAAAAAATAAATAAATAAATAAAACAAAGATAGGAAATATGGACAATATAGAAATATGCAAAGAAAAATAAATGTCACCCCCAAGCGACCTGAGCATTCAGAGCCACAGTCACCAGAAACCCTCTTGGCTTTCTGTCATCTTGTGTTATTTTCCTGGTTTTGTGACTTTTCCTTATATGATGGTAGCATGGAATCTGCCCGTGTCATTAGATGCTTACCCATGAGACGCAGTTCTGCAGGACGATGACTCATTCTTTGGAGCCACTATAATGCATTTACGTCGTTGGCCTTTTGAGGACATTAGGCTGCAGTTTTCCACTTTATAAATGGCATCAAAGTGAGCAAGCCTGCTGCGCAGATGCTTTAAATCTTGGGAGTCAGTGGGTCTCCCCAAGGGACTTTGACAAATTAAGCTCCGGATGAATGAGGTTGAGAAACCCCTAGGATTGGATGCAAGATTTTTCTTTTTTCTTTTTTTCTTTTTTTTTTTTTTTTGAGGCAAGAAGATTCACAGCATTCATTGACTAGGACCCTGAACCATTGAACGCCATTCGGTTCATTTGGGAAATTCCATCTTCAGAGAGGTTCAAGTTTAGCGCCTGCCCTTGGAGCCGAGCCCTGCACCCCTCCCCCATGTGTTATTTAGGGTATGAAGTTGGGCCATCAGAGAGCGACATCCCCAAAGCTGTTACTGTCAAGAGGGTGTCCCAGGCAGGCTTAAGGTGGGGTCTCAGGGGCTGGCATGGATGGGGACAGAACTAGGGGTGCAAGGGTGTGACCCCACGCCCAGGGTTGTCCCTTCATCAGCCTTCCACTCGGACACCAGCTGTGCGCTGATGGTTCAGCTGATGCTGTCAGATCATTCTAGGCTTGGGATGGGAGAGGAGCGGGGAGCGGCCATTCTTCATCATCTAGACAGCCTCAGACTCTGCCAGACAAGTCTGGCTTTTTCTTCTCTTTTCTTTCTCCTTTTGTTTAGCTACCATCAAACCCCCGGATGTGACTTGTGTCCCTAAAGTGAGATCCATCCAGATGATTGTCCATCCCACCCTCACCCCTGTGTATGACGGAGATGGCCACCAGCTAACCCTGGAAGAGATCTTCCAAAATCTATTCTACCGCCTGGAGCTCCACATCAACCACACCTACCAAATGGTAAATGTAGGTTGCACCCCGTTGTTGTCCCTGTCTGGGGAACCCATCTCTCCCAATTAAATCTGTGTTGCTTTAAGTAGAAAGATAAGGTGGCACACAAAACAGCATTTCCCAAAGCATATTTCTTGGAGGCTTTTTTGGAAGCCTTACAAACACCACACACCACACCCTCTCTCTTGTGAGTTCACATACCAGCGCATAATAGCATGTCGACAATTCCCACCAGTCCTTCCGGGACAAGACTCCAACTCTAGATTTGTTTAAGATTTGTTTTATGCAATGGTTCTCAAGTTTATTTGACCAGAAAATCTTTTTTTTTTTTTTCACAATACAGATTTTTGTGTTTACCTTCTAAATGATAGAAAATACCTTCTAAAATTGTAGAAAACAACCTCTATGTACATCCTCAGGGCTTCTCTTTAGAAAATGTTGGAGATGATTCTACCCCACCATCCTTTTTGCTAGTTTTTCAGTGTTTGCATGAATCTACACAGGGAGCGTCTTAGGAGCAATCATAGTACAGGTAGAAGAAAAGGACATAAATTGTCAAGTGAACACATATGATTTTGTTTTTGGGAAATATGTAGTATAGTCCCCTCCCTCCCCAGCATGTGCCGCTGGTTCACATTAGGTCGAATGAATATTTATTTCCAACTCATTCCCACTGTCAAGCAGCTTAGACTGTGATCTAGTGAGTGGGGAGAAAATTGAAACAAGAATTCAAACAGCAACAAGGAGAGGAAAAGAAGGATGTTGTAAGATGAGGAAAATAAGGATGCTGTCGGATGGAGCAGTGTCAGCTCAGAAAGTTCTAAGGCTTCTAGAAAATCTTTAGGCGCCCACGCTGGTTTCTGAGTTTTGCCCTGTAACATCTACAAGTACATATCCAATCATGTAACCTTTAGCACAGCCCTGCAAAGCAGTAGTTACTATCTGTGCTTTCTAGATGAGAAAACAGTTTCAGAGAGGGTAAGTCATGTGGGCAGGATTGTCTGACCAACAATAATGGCTGAACAGGATTCAGATCCATTCTGATTCCTCCTCCTGGTCCACACACCCTGCCTACACTGTCCCCACTGTGATCAGACAGAGAAGCAGGAAAATGTGGGGCTCTTGGAGAAGATCAAGTTACCCCCATTTGGCTGATTATGGAGAGTAGAAAGCAGTTTCTCAAAACTGGCATCGGACTTTCCAATGGCACTAAGGTGCAGATCCTTGGACTGCTACCAAGCCAACCATGTGGCTGCGGCTGCATCCGTGGGGTCTGAATTCCAGTGAATGCCCAGGGCTTGTCCTTCACCTTGAGGCCTGAGATGCGAGGCAGAGGCCCCGTGGGAGAGAGAAACTTGAGCAGCCCAGCTCGGTGCATGCTGCAGAGCTGAGGGCAGAAGAGGAGCAGGCTTATTTATTTCAGATGTCTGGGAAGGCAATTAGATGTTAGTGAGCAGGAAGAGTTTTTATCAGTGCTATTATCGCTAAACATCTGGAGTTTGACTAAAGATTTTATTATTACTGATTTCTAATGTAATTCAGTTTGTGGTCAGAGAACATACTCTGCCAGATATCAGCCCTCTAAATTTATTAGGATTTGTTTTATGGTCAGCGTGCGGCCTGCCTCGGTTAAAGCTCTCCACGTTCCCGCAAAGAATGTGTGTTTGTGGTTGCTTGGTGGACGGCTAGATCACTACCAGTTAGATAAAGGTGATTGGTAGTGTCATGAGGAGCTTGTTTCTCTCCTGACTTGGGTAAGGGTCTATTGTACTCTGAGCTGCCGACAATATTAAGGGTTCCGGCTACGAGGTGGATTTGTCTAATTTCCTTTTTAATTCTACATTTTTTTCCACATGTGTGGGAACTCTATTCTTAGACATATGCATTTATGACTGTTACATGCTCCTGATAAACTGGCCATGGGATCACATGTAGTGTCCCTTTTTTAACTCTAGTTAAGCTCTTGGTATTAAAATCTACTTTAGCTGATTCCCACTGATTCCAAACACTGCAGGCTTTTTGTAGCTTGTGTACCATATCTTTTTACATCCATTCCTTTTCAACTTGTGTTTTTCCATTTAAAGTGCATGTCTTATGCACTTCCAGAAATCTAGGTTCTGGTCTTTTAATGGAAGAGCTTTGGACCACTTCAGGTAGTTAAATAGAGGAGCTAGGAGAGGGGATTTGTCAAAGGTAGCTTTTACACTTGGGCCTTGGGCAGAAAAATCAAGGGTGATGCTATGAACAGAATCGGAAAATATGAAACAGGTGAGGGTGTGGAACAGGGCAGATCCCATGCAGGAGGCCTGCGTGTTTGACACATTGAGCAAGAGGTGCCCACACAGTAATACTGGGCAAGGAGCTGGCAGTGCCCATCAGAAACTCTGGAACCTTCCTGGGATGTCGTGGGAGTTGTTTCCACATTGGTGATCATAGAGGCCACAGAAGAAGATGACATCGCTAAGTGACCACAGAGTATAAGATTGTTTCGCAGAGTGCCATTGAGGGGCTAAGCCAGGGAAGGGGTAGAAGGGGGTGGGAGCAGAGCAAGGGGGAGAGGAGAGGAGTGGAGGGTGGAAGAGGTCAGAGGCTCACAGGAGGGCGAGCACCGGAAACCAGGGCAGCAGAGGGATGGACGTTCAAAGGGCTTTTTGTTTTGCTTTACTCTCTCTTCTTTTTTTCACCAGTATGGGGGAACTGAACCTAAGGCTTTCTCACTGAACTACATTCCCAGCCCTTTTTGCTTTTCCTTTTTTTTTTTTTTTTTTTTTTGAGACAGGGTCTTGCTGTGCAGTTCAGGCTGGCCTTGAACTCACAATGATTCTCCTGCCTCAGCCTCCTGAGTGCTGGGATTATAGGCACACGCACCACTACACCCAGCCTCATTCGCCCAACTCAGTGCGCCCGGGGGCTTGAACCAGGTCGCTCACAATGCCTGCCTAAGCAGTTGCTTCAGTCCACTGAGCTATCTGGCCAGCCCCCTCTCTGCTTTTTGAGATAAGTTCTCACTAAATTACCTAGACTGTGATTCGCCTTCTCAACCTCCCAAATAGCCGGGATTACAGCTGGGTACCAGCACATCCTACTTCAAAGAACTTCTGATGTTTGATAAGGTGGGAGGAAGAAGGAGAAAGACTGGAGGAAGGGCAGGGGTGGCTGGGCAGTGACTGCAGAGGCAGCAGCTACAGCGGCTTCTCTAGGCTGCTTACAAAGTGCAGTCCTAAGCAAAAGGTCCAAGCAGCATGGAGGCCAATTGGATTGACGAATAAAGGAGGTTGGAGAACAGAATGAAACCCTGTAGGCTTCCTAGTCTGGGCAGCCAGTGTGAGACTTTTTCTAAGAGAAGCAGCTCAGGAGGAGTGAGGGCTGGCGTGGGCTCCCCCCAGAGAATAGCCTGGAAAACCTTCACTTTGACCTTCTGTCCAATGCAGCATCTTGGAGGGAATCAGCGCGAATACGAGTTCTCTGGCCTAACCCCTGACACGGAATTCCTGGGGAGCATCGTGATTTTGGTTCCCACCTGGTCCAAGGAGAGCGCCCCCTATGTGTGCCGAGTGAAGACGCTGCCAGGTGAGCCGTGGAGGGGAGCCTCCCTGGGGGGCGGGGCGGAGCCTGCACAGGCGCAGGTGAGGTGGCATGTGTGTACCCTGGCAAAGCAGCCTCACAATAGTATTAACCCAAGTGATATGTACGGAGTGCGTGTGTGTGCGTATGCGTGTGCGTGCGCGTGTGTGCTGGGAATCTACGTGTGGCAGAGGGAGGAGCAAAGAAGATAACAGGATCTCATGATACCCTCCAAAGACAAAGAATAATCGCAATGACGTCGCTAACTAGCTTCACCGCACTGCTAACCAGACGCCAGGTACCACTACGCACAAGCCTCTTGCACCATGTGAAAGGCAGGTACTGTGGCCATTCTCCTTTTACCGAACAGAACGCTGAAGTTCAGAGTGGTTAAGTAACTTGCCCTAGGTCACACAGGTGGCGAGGGATCCAACAAGGCCCGGTTCCTGGGCAGACTGCATACTCACCACTGCACTGCTGTAGAAATGAAACTGACATCCGCATCTGGCTTTTGTTGTTGTTGTTGTTGGTTTTGTGTTTTTGATTTTTTTGTTTTTGCAGTTCTGGGCATTGAACCTAAGGCCTTCTCATTGAGTTGAATCCTCAGCCCTTTTTATTTTATTTTTAATTTTGAGACAGACTCTTGCCAAATTCATCAGGCAAAAACAAGCTTGTGATCTTGCAGGGCATGGGTGGTGGTGTACCTGTTATCCTAGCACTTGAGAGGCTGAAGCAGGAGGATTTCTAAGAGCTCAGGTCAGGCTGAACTACACAGTGAGACCCTGTCAAAAGAAAAGAAAACAAAACAAAGCAAAACAAAAAAAAAACCTCTTACATCTTCCAGCCTCAGCCCCCCACAGTGTTGGGCCCACACGTGGGCACCACCCCCCCCAGCTTCTGAACAGGGCTTCTTTTCCTAGGCAGGTAGAAACACTGCAGTTCTTCCAGCTTCATGGATACAGCAGTAGCCAACTGGATGGATTGGCAGAAACAGTCTCCACAGTATCTGTGCGTGATTTCTGCCCCAACAACAAAGAATAGAGTTACGTGGCCCCAAACGTGGTGCTATCAGCCACCCCTAGTGCCCAGGAATCCCAGGGCCTCCCCTGCATAGATCTGCCTGGATCGAGTAGGCCAGGCCACTCTTGGGGGGTCCTTCCTGAGCAAGACCAGGGAGACCAGAGTAGAAGCAGGCCAGAAAAGGGAAGTGGGCGTGGCAGACACCCGGCCAGCAGCGCCTGTGTGACTCGGGACTGTGTCCCCTGAACTTAGCAGATAAACCTCGCCCTGTTTCTGACAACGTGCAGACACTCCACGCTTACCCTCCCGGTGCCTTTCCTCCCGTGACCTCACCCTGATGTGACGTCACCTCTTCTCAGACTATAGCTGCTTTCATATAAATCACACTTCCTCATGAGTATCTTTTACTGGCATATAGACGATGCCTTATCTGTCAAAATAAAATACATTAAAAACAATTCCTACCATTTATTACTACTCTAATCCTACTACATGTGTCAAATGCTTTACATCTATTCTGCCATCGTTATGATTACTTGATCTTTAAAACAATCCTGCACCTTGGGTCGCACTGTCCCCATTTTACAGAGGCACAACCCTGGCCTGGAGAGGTTAAGTAGCCTGTCCCGGGCCATACATCGAGCAGCTCAGCGGGGTCTGCAGCCTGGGTTCTAGCCTCCACTCTGCAGCTTGGTTTCTAGCCAGTGTCTCCAATGGCACTTTTATTCCCCTTACTTCCATGTCAGAGGGATACATCCTGCCCTATCCCAGAGCCCAGAATCCCCCCTCGATCTCCTTCTAGGATGTCTCGAGGGTCCCAGAGCACAGTACCAGCATCTTGGCACCAGAAATAGATCATAAGCTCGTGTCACCCATATTGTTATTTTATGAGTGCAGATGGGAAAAACGAGACATCATTACAGAGAGGCTGTGAGGATGGGATTTGGAGCTGTGGCCTTACTCCGGGCTTCTCCACTGAGAAGCTGTGTGGTCACAGTCCAGTCACTTCACCTCTCTGGGCCTCAGCCTTGTGATCTATCAGAAAGCATCATCCTTATCCTTTAGTGTGGCTTGGATGATTTGCCAGGATGGCCTAGGTAAAGCCCCCAGCCATCTGCATGGCTTGATAATGTGTTGCCCCAGTAACTGGTACTCATAAAGCGGACACCAGAGAGGGTCATGGAACAGGGGGATGCTCCCCCGTGAATGGCTCAGCCAAATCTCTGCTGCTGTGTATTCCTTACCCTAGGCTAGTGTTTTGTTACCATATCCTGCTTCCTTGTGGGAAAAATGGCATGCAGAAGTGTCTCAAGCCAGGGACTGCCCCCCAAGTCCCCATCCCATTTCCTGTGCTAGGAGCCGCAGTTTCCCACCAACGCTGGGCATGTCCTGTAGAAACAGGGTGGTCTGTGACCATGGGCAGCTGACCCAGAGAGGTCCAGAGGAGGAATAAGGAATAGGCTCAGAGTAGAAGCCCAGGGCCGGGGAGATAGCTCAGTAGAATAAGCACTTACCTGGCAAGCGCAAGGTCCTGAGTTTAGTCCCTGGTACCGCAAAAAAAAAAAAGAGTAGAGGCTCGGAGAGTCCCAGGGTTCACTGCAATGACTGAGTCCACAGAGCTGGAGATCTGTTGTCACTCTGAGGCCTGGAAGGGGTCAGGAAGAGGAGGGAAACCTAGGTGATGAGGACCCCAGGGTGATGCAATCCCAGTTTTACCAAAATCTTTCTCTGCCACCTCTGCCAGCCCATTTGCAAGTTCAGCTAGGAAATGTCACACAAAGACCTAAAGGCGCCCATGACAGAATGCAGGTAGATGCCTCTGGCACTAGAGCCCAGCCCTCCCCCTCCTTCCCTTTTAAAAAGGACAGCATTTCCCAAACCTTTCCTAAGTAAGCTCTTCCCTGACACACAGGCCCTTGCCTGGTAGGGAGGCAGAGAGGTCAGGTGGCTTGTTACTTCTACCTCCCCACTGTCCAGTCCCCTGCATGTGGTAGACAGAAGCAGCAGGGGCTCTGCCTTGCACCCTGCCCTCCAGCAGGCTCTGCTCTGGCCTCCCACCGCCATTCCCCTCCCCACAAGGTAAAGGGACCACAGAGCAAAGGGCACAGGTCCATCTGGACCCTGCAGCCTCCCATAGGAACCAGACTCTGAGTACCCACACCCTGAAGTCCCCTGTGCCTGTGGCCCAAGCCTGCATCCTGTCTAGGAAGATGTCTTCCTAGGGTCCTTCCTTGTTTAGGCAATGCTAACTGAAGCACAGACCCCTGGTCCACAGGAAGACCGATTGGTGGCTCTTGCAGGGTCCTAAATGTGTCTGGCACATGAGTGGAGGTCCTAGCAGTGGGGATGGAGCCATGTGGGACCAGAGGCCAGCATGTGGCCTTCCCTGACCCTCCACATTTGAGGGCACACAGCACTGGGGCCCCTCCTCAGCAGAGAGGCCCTGCAGCACCCTCCTGGGACAGGGCCCTGCCTCACGCTGCCTCCCCTTCCTCCAGATCGGACGTGGACCTACTCCTTCTCGGGTGCCGTACTCTTCTTCATGGGCATCCTGGTCACTGTGCTTTGCTACCTGAGCTACAGATACATCACCAAGCCTCCAGTGCCCCCCAACTCACTGGTAAGTCATCCTACCTTGGCAGGAGTGAGAGGGCCAGGGAGGACCAGAAGGTGCAGGGAGCAAGGGTTCCCCTGCTTCTCCGTGCACAAAGCAAGGGTTCTGTGCACAAAGCAAGCTAGGTCTCCAGGTCTCCTGCTGGAATTCTTGGTCCAGCCCATTATTGACAGGATTGATGACCAGCAGCAGGAGAGCTGACCAGGAATGGTGGACATGCAACAGAAATGCCATATGGCCCAAGTGTGTCCATGTCGGGTGGGTAACAGGACCCAAGTGACCGCTAAGGGATTGTCCCAGCTTCATGTGTTGCTAAGAGAAGTCAGAATTTCAGTTGGTAATGGGAAATCTCCCAAGTTTTAAACCTGAGTAACTAAACTTCAGCTGCATCTCCTTGTGTGAACCTTCAAGGGGCAGCCACAGCCCCCTCCGGCCATCCCAGCTTCCTGGAGCCAGCTGCCCCCTCCAAGGGACAGGAGCTCCGAAGGTGTGCATGTGAGCTGCGTCTATCAGCTCCCCTAGAGTCCCCTGCCACCTACCACCCTCTCCCACCTTGACTCCTGCATCAGGCCCTGGAGGGCCCTGTGAGCCACACAGCATCCCCACATCTGGGTCCCCCACTTCTTACATTATCTACCCCCTAAGGAAACCAGAGTGTGAATCTGCATCCCAAAGAGAACATAGGTGTCAACACAGCACTCAGGCAAAGACCTAGAACCCCAGCCCCACTGAGGGAATCACTGAGGTTTCAGAGAGGAGGTGGGGCCCATGTATTATTTACTGGTTTGTTTTATTTTTGCCATGATGAGGGTGGCAAGGCCCTCACGGCTTTACCGCGGAGCCACTCGGTGCCCAGGCCCAAGCACTAGACACCCCCTGCTCACTCCCCACGGAGGACCCCACCCTCCCACAGCTCCTGCCGTGGGGAGCTTAGAATGCATGCTCTGAACGCGGGTTGTTGTCCTCCTCGCACAGAATGTCCAGCGAGTGCTGACTTTCCAGCCGCTGCGCTTCATCCAGGAGCATGTGCTGATCCCCGCCTTGGACCTCCGTGGCCCCAGCAGCCTGGCCCAGCCCATGCAGTACACCCCCGTCGTGGTCTCCGCGCCCAGAGAGCCCCCAGTGGCCGCACCGCTGCGCAGCCTGTCGGAGATGGCCTACTTGGGGCATACGGACATCATCCTCCGGGGTGCCGGAGTGCCCCCTTCCCAGACACAATCTCCACCATCCTATGACACCCTGAAGACAGCCCCTGAGGCCAGGCCCCTGTCCTACGCTCCACAGGTGGCCCCGGATGCAGAAACCCTATCTTACACCCCACAGACTATCTTGACAGCTCAGCCTCCCCCCTGCATCCCCCAAGCCTTGGGCACCACCGGAGAGCCTGAGCCTGTCTCCTATGGGGTGTGCCTGGAAGGTGGCGCCACCACAGACTCCCCTCCAGAGACACCCTCCAGTCTGGAGCCTTCCACGCAGAAAGGTCAGCTCCACAAAGAGGCACCAGTGGTGGGAAGGCACACCCCAGGTGACTTATCTCTGCAGACAGTGACCTCTGTGACTGCGGAGGAACTCCAAGATGCAGAACTGTTGCACTCACCCCAGGGACTCTGTACAGACAGGAAACTGGGCCTGCTACACAACAGGAAGCCAGAGACCCTCCCATACCTTCATGGCTCGCTCCTCTCCTCTGTGCAGATCGAAGGCTGTCCTGTGTCCCTCCCATCGCACCCTCCTGTCCTCTGCTGTTCCCACTCCGAGCAGGGGCCACATCCCCTGCTGGACTCCCTTGTGTGTTCCGAGGATGGGGTTCTGGAATCTGAAGCTGAGTCCCTGAGCCCAGGCCCTGGGGCCTTGATGCTAGAACAGCCCACGGAACTGGACTCACTTTTCCAAAGCCTGGCCCTCACCGTGCAGTGGGAGTCCTGAGAGAAGCATGGCTGGCCGGGGGTTCCTCCGGCCCCCACCGGCATCTCCTCCTTGGCTGTCAACCTCCTCCCCACCATGTCACACATTCTACAGCCCAGCCCCTGTGGGGGGTTTGGGGAAGCCCCTCTGGGGCCACCTGGGTGAGCTCCCTGTCAGAGCCAAAGGGCATGACAAGGACTCCATCATGACGGCGGAGCTCCTGGCCGATGAGTGACCCACGCACCTGATGTGAGTTCTCAGAACCAGGCAGGTGGGAAGTCAGGGTACAGGAAGGAAATGCAGACAAACCCCTTGGAGACGCGGGGCCCCAACTCTGAGGATGCTGGGCTCCAGGCTGGCAGGGAGCCTGACCCCATTCCTGTCCCGTTTCATAACCTAGCCCAGTAGAGAGTGAGGCGTCTGCCCAAGGTAGGAGAAGGAGCCTGCAGTGGCAGGCTGGGCGGAACCAGAGCAACCTGCCCTTCCGCCACAGCCAGAGGCAGCACAGCGGCAAGACTGCTGGGAGGGGTACAGCTTGAGCTTGGTCTGAGCCAGGGCCTACACCTGAAGTGGTACCATGCCAGCTTCATTCCCCAGAGAATGTGATCCAGGCAGCCAGGCACACTAGACTTTCCTCCAGGTAGGAATTTCCAGCTTTATCCTGAGAACTGGATTGGAAAGAAACACAGAGCCTGGCAGGGTGGTGCAGTGCACGCCTGTAATCCTAGCATGGTGGAGGCTGAGGCAGGATTTTGAGCTTAGTCTGGGTGACTTAGCAACTTAGTAAGATCCTGACTCAAACTTTTAAAGAATTTAAAGGAGCTGGAAACTCAGCTCAGTGCTAAAGTCCTGGGTTCAGTTCTCATTACTAAAGGAGACAGACAGAGAAACACGGGACCAAGTAGTCCCTGAATGGAGACCCCAAGATAAACTGTATTCATACAGCTCTGGAAACGGCCTCGTGTTCATTCCATCTGGGTTCAAATTCCAACCTCACCACTTACCAGGGCTGTAACTGCAGGCAAGTGAATCACTGCTCAGACCCTGAGTTTCCTCATTTGCAAAATGGGGACAATAACATTGGGGTTGTCCCTAACTCATGGAGTTGTGTTGAGGGTTCAATGAATGTTTATAAAGAGTCTGGCACATGGGTGGTGCCCCAAAAATGTGACTGCTTCCCGTTGTAATATTTCATTGATCTGGCAGTGCCAGGAGTGACTCCGTCAGCAGGAGCCAGCTTCGGACTCCCTGAGCATTTTCTCCAGGACTCGGACACTCCAGGCTGCCTCAGGACTACTCCAGATCAAGCCAAGGGCTAGACTGCCCAGGGCGGGCAAAGGGAGAGGCCACAGAGCTGTCTGGAAACAGGGTACAGAGACCGATGAGGGGAGCCCTGCCCCTGCCCAAGTGGAAGCTATTTTGACTGCAGCCACTTCCAAGGGCTCTGTTCCCTCTGCCTCCTGCCACCACCATCCAGGACAGCCTGAATCTTTTGTGTTTTTTGAAAGCCACCACATCTTCCTCTCTTCACATCTCAGATGACCTTTGTGGCGAAACCGAGGTGCAGAGAAGGGAAAGGACTCTCACACAGTCCCACTCTGAGGGCCTCAGTGGAGTTGATGCTCTTGGTCCTAGGCTCTTGGTCCTCATGAAGAGAAGGACCTTTCTACATCTGTTGGGACGCTTAGAGATTGTGACTGACGGGGCCTCAGAACGGGGCCCTCATAGGTCTCTGCAAGAACAAGGCTCCCTGCTCACCATATTGCCCCTAGTTTCTGAGAAACAAGATCAAACTGTGGTTGCCTGAGAATGGCCCTTCCTGGAGTACACAATGTCCTTTTTCCCTACTCAAGTATGCCTGCTTTGTCTTCCTATCCCTTTCCTCCCTGGGGTATGATGACAAGTGATGGAGTTCTTATCTGTGTGCAATTAATATTTAACATCTCTTCAGAGTCACTGACCCAAGATCTATCAGCAGAGGTGGGGGAGTCACCCACCTGTGCAGCCCAGCATGTACACTGCAAACAAATTTACTTCCTGTCCCTTGGCCAAAGATTAACTGTCTTTACCTTGTTTATTAGTGAAAACAACAGAACAGTTGGACTATTCTTACCAGGCCAGTGGGGCCAGGGAGATACAGTGGTGCTCTTATTAAGAGCCATAAACATCTCTTCTGACTCACGGGACCGCACGGGGTGCAAACGTTCCAAAAATGATTCTCAGAGGGAAGAGTCTGAGGGTCTGGCTATGAGTCTGGGACCCTTTTCAGCCTTGCCCTGTCCCCTCCAAAGGGCAAGGACCAGGCTGCATGGCCCTGGAGGTCTCTGACCTCCCAGGCAGCCCAGGCCTGTGGATGAGCTGGAACCAGTTAGAGGGCAGGTGTCCAAGTCCCTAGGGACCCTGTTATTCCTGAAAGGCCCAGACTCTGGCCTCATACCAGGAAGCTCCAGGGCCATGCCCCACCCAACCCAGACAGGTAAGACTCCAAGGTGTCACCTGCCTCCAAGGCATGACATCCGGGCATAAGTTAGTAAAAATACAGAGCCCTATTTTATCCTCAGGAGAAGCATTCCAAGATCCCCAGTGTGTGTGAAGCCCCAGATAATACAGAACACTGTATCTACTGTGTTTTTTTCTACAAAGACAGACCCACCATAAAATTAATTTATAAATTAGGTATAGGAAGAGATTAATAATAAGAACAAAACAGAGCAATGACTGAATTGAGTAAAATAAGGCCTACTTGCAGCAAGATACCACAGGTGATAACGGTGATGGTTACTAACAGGAGGGTAGCATATACAGTGTGCATACCTTGGAAGGGGAGGAATCGTATCTGGAGCTGGGTGGAACAAGACGGAGAGAGGTTTCATCGAGCTACACAGAAAGGTCTCTAACTTAGAATTTATGCATTGATCATTTAGGGAATTTTTCCATTTAATACTTTTGAGTGTTTTATAGTTGAGTACATCAAAACCACAGGTAAGGGGTGTTGTGGTTAAGATCTTAACAGCCCCCCAAAGGCTCATAAGGGTCACCAAGGAGGCGAGCAGATTTTCTCTGCCTTGTCCTCTCCACCGTGATGTTCTGCCTCTCTGTGAGCCAGAAAGCAACAGAGCCAGCTGACATTGACTGAAGCCACAAGGCCCAATAAAACTTTTCTATTTATAAATTTATTATCTCGGGTGTTTTGTGACAGTGACAGAAAGCCAACACGAGTGGACTACGATGGTAGCAGAAACAATGATACTAGGAAGAAAAAGGAGGAGGAATCTAACTGAGGCCTTGGCAACGGACACACTCGATTGTTCCTCCTTCCATTAACCTTCTTTTTATGGTAGGTCATAGAGTTGATATTTTGGCAAGGAGGAAAATGTGGCTCAGAAAGGCAATATTCCTTCATCAACTTGCTAAACTTGCTTCCTCCTGAAAATCCCCAGGTAGCTTCCCTCATCCCATTGGGCCTGCTAGATCTATCACTCCTGGAGAATCTGTATTCTTTTTTTTTTTTTAATTTATTTATTTATTTGTTTATTTATTTATTTATTGTGTGTGTGTGTGGCCAGTTCAGCCCACCAGAGGGCGGGGCGGGCTGGCATGTGGTGCTGGGGATTGAACCGCAGTCCCTGTGCTTTTGCTTAGCTTAGCTTGTTCTAAGTAGGTGCTTTAGACCACTGAGCCATCTCACCAGCCCCGAGAATCTGTATTCCTAATAAACTCCTTTGGGGATCCTCTCAAGTACGCTGAGGGGACCATGCCCTCACAGCAACAGTTTCTCTGTCTGCAGCCTAAATTCACATCCCTTGAGTCATCTCCTGGGATGGGGCAGGAGGCTGCGAGGCTGCAAGGCCTGCAACCCCCATGGCCCCAGGGCTATCCAGACACTGGAGCAGAGCTTTGCGGGATCAGAGAGCCGGATGCTTCTGTGTCCTCCAAGTCTGAGCGTCAGTCTAAGCAATGTCACCTCTTAGTCTTGTTCCCTGTTGCCCTCCTCATCCTACCTTCCAGACAGTGGGCAGAGTAGGAAGCTGGAGCTGGCATGACCAGAGAGACACCTCCTGCTTAAGCTGCTGCTGGGGGACTCTGGGCTAAGACCCCACTCCACTGCTCACCCACAGGCTGCCTGAAACCCTTTCCCTCCTTCTGTAAGGAGGACAGGGTCCAGGAAGGTAGAGTTTGACCTGGGCATGTGAGAATAGTAGCTACAATTGCCTATGGTGCAAGAGTGAGAGAGGTGAGGAGGAGGCAGGTATTATCTGTGAGCCAAGAGGGGAGCCCAGGGAGGTCCCGTCAGCAGTTCCCCGTTCTGGCCACCATGTGGAATCATCAGCCAAGGACAGTTTGGTTGCTCTCTGGGAAGACAGAGGCTGGAAAGAAAGGCATGATTCAAATGATAGTCAATATGGCCACATGTCCAAGAGGAGAACAAAAGAAGAAAAGGAAAGGAGAAAGCCAAAGAAATATGAGTCAAGGGGCTGGTGAGATAGCTCAGTGGTCTAAAGCACCTACTTAGAACAAGCTTAGCAAAGCACAAGGACCGCGGTTCAATCCCCAACACCACATGCCAGCCAGCCCCACCCCCTGGTGGTGCCTGGGTCCTATGGGGTTAACATCCCTGTAAAAAACATTGGTGTACAGCAGACACTCTGGTGCACACCTGAATTCCTACGCACTCTAGAGGCTGAAGCAGGAGGATCACAGCTTCAAGCTCAGGCTGGGCAACCTAGCAAGCCCCTGTTCTCAAAATAAATAGTAAAAGGAAAAGGCCTGGGTTGTAGCTCGGTGTGAAGCCCTGGGTTCAACTCCTAGTGCCACCAAAAATAAAAGAGGTTGAAGCCTCTATACACATTTTCATGACATGACAACACAGTAAGAAAGGTCACCTTGGGGCTGTGAGACGCTCTCGCCAGACACTGAATCTCCTGTCACCTTGGTCTGGAACACCCCAGCCCCAGAACTGTAAGAAACACATTCCTTAGGAAATGCATTCTAGCAGGCTGAACAAAGGAAGATGCTATTCATTTATTTTAAACAAACCCAAATTTAGGGTTCAGTTGTATGCCAGGCACTATCCTTGGGGTTAAAGATAGAATGAATGGATGAGACATAATGTTCCCTCTGGCTTGAAATGTACAGATAAAAAAACTGAGGCTCAAGAAGGAGGCCAAGTTTCCACTTAGTCTCCAAGGATCCAACACTAAGTAGAGTCACCAAAAGTTAAAACTTACACCAAGGTTTGTGAGCCTCCAAGACATCTAACTTGTTCAGTCTCATGGCCAATGTTTATCTCAGCCTCTTCCCCATTGCTGGGACAAAATACCCAACACCCACAAATTAAACAAGGAAAGGTTCACTTCAGCTCACAGTCTGTAGAGGTCTCAGTCCCTAGCTGGCTGACTCTAAACTAGGGCAGCATGGCAGATGGGGATGGCCGAAGAGAAACGGTCCATGGCATGGGTGAGAAGCGTCAGGCCATCAGGAGAGCAAGACATATATATCCCTGTCCTTGCAGGCCACGCCCACAGGGACCCTCCTGCCACCACCCAACATCACACCCAGCTATAAACCGGTCAGTGATCTAAGCCAGTACCACACATCTGTGATCCAGTTGCCCCCCCCCAAGCCACACCTGTGAGTGCATGAGGCTTTGAAGGGAGGTGCAGCTAGACATAAACCATTACAGCTTGGCTGATATGCTGTTTCAGAGGTCCCAGTGAAAGGTAAGAGCATCACCACCGTGCAGTCAGCTAAGCAACACCTGGGGTGGCAGAAGGCCCCCTGGCAGAGCAATTACTTAAGCAAACATCTGTTGGGACCAGGCACTGTGCTGAAGGTTGCAGGTTTTCTTTTCCTTTCCCTTTTTCTTTTTCATGTGTGTGTTTCATTTTATTGTGTTTCATTGAGACAGATCTTACTATGTAGCCCAGGGTGTTCTTGAACTCCTAATCCTCCTGCCTCAGCTACCTGAGTGCTGGGATTACAGGTGTATAGTACCATGCCCTAGTAGAGGTTGTATACTTCTTAACTGAATGGTTTCAGTCAGACTGCAAGCCATGGTCCCCACTGTGCAAATAATCAGACTGGAATGGAAAGGTGACGTGCTTAAGGTCATAGAGCCAGGAAGTTGTGGGAAAGATGGGGACCCAAGGCCACTCCAACTCAGAGTGCTCCTTGACCCTGACATGCACCTGGCTGCAGGACCGGTGTTAATGGTTGTGTCCTGTTGGATGGATGCAAAGCCCTCTTTGGGGAGCCTGTGAGCCCTGGAAAGTCCTTTGTAGATGGACCAATAGAAGGGGCCAAGCTGGGCATGGTGGTTGATACCTTTAATCCCAGGTACCCAGAAAGCTGAGGCAGGAGGATTGCTAGTTCAAACTCACCCTGGGCATCTTATTGAGAACTTGTCTCAAAGAATAAAAAAATGTAAGAGGGGCAGGAGGTATAGCTCAGTGAAAACCCTGGTCTCAATCCCCAGTACTAGAAGAAGAAAAAGAAAAAGGAGGAGAAAGGAGAAAGGGGGAGGGGGAGAAGGAGGAAAAAGAGGGAGAAGGAATGAGGAAGGGGGAGGAGAAAAAGGAGAGGGGGAGAAGATGGAGTGGTCATTCCATGTGTTCTCCCTCAAAAGTGCTATGAATGCTGTGGAGACCAAAGCAGAGGAGCCAGAAAGGACACAGGGCTGAATAAGATTTGGGCTGCATGGCTTACTGGTATTCGCCCCTTCTCCCCAGTATGGAGTCTGCAAGGCACCTGGCCCCTTCTACTGGCCCATCTACAAAGGACTTTCCAGGGCTCACAGGCTCCCCAAAGAGGGCTTTGCATCCATCCAACAGGACACAACCATTAACACCGGTCCTGCAGCCAGGCGATGTCAGTGGCCACCCGAGGTCCTTGGCTGTGAAGCACCAATGTTCCCAGATTTGCATCCTCTGGGACCTGACAACAGGCTCCTTCCTGATGGCTCCCAGGTGCTTTCCTGCCCCTGACTTCCTGCGGTGGCCAGGCTGGGGGTCGTGCCCACAACTCCTGGGTTGGTAGAAAGCCAAGGTACCAACAATGCCCACCTGCCACAGATCCATATGATGCACTGTCAGATGCACTCCACCGCCCTGGTCCAGTGTAGATGCGAGGACTCACAGTCTCTATTTTTCACAAAGGAAATCAGATCAGAGAAACTGAGGTCCTTCCTGAGGGTACCCAGGCAGACAGACAGAGCTGAGATCTGAATTCGCACAGCTTGGAACACCATCCACATCCACCTTCCACCCAGCGGGGCCTGAGCCACACTCTAACCTCTCCACTGGAACTGGGGCCAGACTTGGCTGAGGCTGAAGACGAGGGAGGAACAAGGGGTGGGGGCGCTCCACCTGTCACTCTGCCCAGCTGTGCTAGGACAGGACAACACTCCCCCGCCCCCACCCACGCCATAGTTCCCATCCATTGTCATCACACTGTCCCAGCACTGCTATATATAAAACTGCTGGCTCCAAGATCACATTCTACTCTCTGTCCTCACTGAGCGGAGGGCAGAAAGAGACCAAGGACCCTGTCTCCCTCGGGGACTGGGCTCTTCTTCCCAGAGACTCCTAAGTGGACACAGTTGATTTGGTGAGTTATTTGTCTCCAAGAATTTGGAGTAGGAAGGAACGCTTGGAGAAAGGGAGACCTTTGGTTTTCCCTTGAAGTGAGTGAGTGTGTGTGTGTGTGTGTGTGTGTGTGTGTGTGTGTGTGACAAAAGGGCCTAAAAGATTTGTGCTTGTGAACATGGGAGAGGACCTCAGTAACCCTTTCCCCACCCTGCGTCTTCCGGGCTGAGTTCTCTGTTCTATAAAAGTTAAAAAGGAAAGGACCTTTGGACATCGGAAGTACCTTTGGAACTGGAGTCCTGGCAGTTGTGGGGCAGCCATCGCAGGGACCTGGGTGAGCCAGCATGGCTGGCACAGTTGGAGCAGGCTCGTCATACCTGCTGGACCCCACAGCCGAGCGAGACCAAGCCCTGGATCCCAAAACTCAGAGCCGGAAGGAATTCTGGCCTGCGCCTGAGGTGACTGTCAGCTCCCAGAGGGCCGGCCAGGAAGGAAGAGGCCTCTGTTCGGCAGGGCCAGGTTATCCTAGCCCCTAGGGAGTGGAGAAGCCACAGTGTGTCCCAGCCCCAGCCGTCACAGTCCACCTGGACAAGATGTCTCTGCTTCTGCCACCCAGAGCAGCTTCTTTGCCACTAGCTCTCTGCGGGCCTGGCCACCAAGTCTCTCAACCTTAGGCTTTTCTCTCTCTCCAGAGGATGGAAGGGGCCTCCTTGGGGTTCTCTGCAGGAGGACTGGGGCACTGACCCTTCCTTGCAGGCTGCAGGGAGTGATGAGAAGAGGATGCTTCGTGTGGTCCCGTGGGAAAAGGGCAGTGGAGGCTGTAAACTGGTCCCTGCTTAATCCCATGCATCAGTCAGTGCTTTAAAAAGCACCGATGGCTCACCCGCTCCGGGGGTCTGGTTGCTGGAGGCCCCAGGTCAGGGATGAGTGCCAGGACAGCCATGGTGCTCATCAGGATACAGCAGCAGGGAGGGAGCCCAGGGCCAGCTGTCACTCAGGAACGCTGATCCTCCACTGCTGGGGCCCAGACCACAGTGTCCTTCTGGGAAGGCCCGGGAGCCTCGCTCCGCCCAGGGTGGGATCCAGCAGCTGTCCTGCTGGGTTGTGAGGAGGAGACGGTGGAATGAGAGCGAGTGGCTATTTCTTGGGGTGTGGGGAAACCAGGAAGTAAAGCCAAAGAGGGGGACTGCCCACTGATCCACCGCAAAGGTTCTCAGCAGGAGCTGAAGAAGCTCTCGCAGGACGATCCTGGTGGCAACTGGCTGTCCTTCCTGATGTCCACAGTGGTGGACACTCGCGGGGAGCAAACTGTTAGAAACCAGGAGTGTCTACCCACGGAGATGGAGCCTCAGCAGGCTGAAACAAACACTCCCCGCGCCCCACCCCGGGTCCTTCCAGCCAAGGGGTCTCGGAGGCCAGTGGGAGCATCTTCGCTCCATCACAGAAAGGGTCCCCTGGGTCCAAAAACCACACCACACACACACACACACACACACACACACACACACACACACACAGAGCCATCTTAAGCAGGCACCTCTGGGGAAACTGAGGGCCACCCCACCTCTGCTGTTCCCTTCCCCAGACCAGGTAAGGTGCTCCCAGGTTAGAGCCCTGGCACCAGGATGCCCACTTCTGGGGAGTCCACAGTGTCCTGGACCTTGGCCTCAGGGGTGCTATAAGAGACTCAGCAGTGACACTGAGGCTTGGTCTGAAATGAACTCAGTACACAAATCCAAAACCAGTGACTATACTGACCCCCATGCTCCTCAATGCTCCCAAATTCCTGGTCAATTCAGTCCAAAACCTGAGCCTCAAGAATACAAGAAAAAGCGCTGGCTGGAAGGCTCAGCAGACTAAAGCGCCTGTTTAGGCAGAGCACAGCACCCGGGGTTAGATCCCCAGCCTCATGTGCCAGCCCTGCCCCCAGGGCACGCTGGGACAGCGATTGAGACTGGGCACGGTAGTGTGTGCCTGTAATCCCAGTGCTTGGGAGGCTGAAAACAGGAGAATCACTATGAGTCAGATCTGTGTAGTGAGACGCTGTAGATCCTGTACTAAAAATACATCTAAAAAAAAAAAAAGAATATATGAAAAGCCAGGGATAAAGGCCAGTGGCACAGCACCCACCTGGCATACATGAGGTTGTGAGTCCAATTTCTGGTTTAAAAAAAATATATATATATATATATATATATATATATATATATATATATATATATATATATGTGTGAAAGGATCTGTACGTATGGTATCCTGAGGAGAAGAAAGCCCATGACACCCAGTGTGGCCCAGCCTCACCAAGACCTGGCTTTGAGTAACCATAACGGTCCAGGTTGGAAGGAGTGAAGCTTGGCACTTCTGGCGCCAATCAGGGCCTGCAACCAACCACCCAGGGTTCCCTTCCTCCTCAGTGCAAAATTCTAGCTGACCCGTAGGCTTTTCAGTAGGGCTTTTCTTGTGTATTACCAAGTGCCAGGCATTTGCCTGATCTTTGCAACTACCCTCAGAGGTTGGTAGGCCTGTTTTACAGATGAGGAAACCAAGTTAGAGAGTCTGAGACCACACACACTGGAAGCCGGAAGGAGGAATTGGGATTGTAGTACCACAGCCCTGGTGTCCTGAGTTGGAGCAGGAAACAAGGCTAGCTAAGTGGGCAAAAGAGGAAAGGGCTCTCCGGGAAGGGAAACCAGGACCTCGGGGACACCTGCCTGTTCTAAGCTCTAGACACAGCATCAGAAATCAGTGCTGGATCCCTCGGGTCTGGGAAGCAAAGGCCAGAGAAGAGACCACAAGGCCCCCAGTGGTGCAGTGGGGCAGGTTCCCCCAGCAGATCCCGCTAACTCAGCCGGGAGAGCACATGGGGTGAAGCTGAGCTGAGATCCCAAGCCTGCCTCTGTCCCCAGGACAGATCACTCTGCCTCTCCGGCCTCACTTCTCTGGTGCACCCACTAGAGAGCGAACCCCTCACCCCAAACCCTCCCAGAGATATGGGGAGGGTGCACAGGAAGGGAGACAGGCAATGACTGATGGAATGACGCCGGTGCCCCTTGGCCCTGGCAGGTTGTTGCTCTCGTAGCCATGACGCTGCCCCACGGCCCCGGAGACGTGGGGGAGCCTCAGCCCGCCCAAGCCGTACAGACCCACAGGCTGGAACACAGACGGGAGGAAGAGAGGAAGGAGGAGCGACAGCACAGCCTGCACATGGGCTCCTCGGTGCGCAGGCGGACCTTCCGCAGCAGGTGGGAACATGGGGGTCCCTGCGGCACGGCCCAGTCCTCCGAAGACCCCAGTTTGATGGGGGAGGGACAGCCTTGCCCTTAGAGGCCCCTGCCTGCTAGAGGAGGCTTAGCAGGCCAGCCAGCACCCTAAAATACAGTCCTAGTTTGGGGCAGCCCCCAGTCAGACCATCCTGCAGCAGCCACAAACCCCCGTTTTCCGGGATAGTGAGGAAGAGCATCAGTTCAGCGCCGCCGACTACGCTCTGGCCGCCGCGCTGGCCCTGACGACCTCCTCGGAGCTGTCCTGGTGAGTCCCACGGGCTTGGGGAGCCCTGGCCAGGGAGGACTTCTCTGACCCTGCCAGCACCCCATAGCCTCTGTCTCTCGCAGGGAAGCCCAGCTGAGGCGCCGGACCTCCACCGTGGAGCTGGAGGAGCGCGGGCAGAAGCGGGTGTGCTTCGGCAACGACTGGGAGCGCACGGAACTCGGCTTCCTGCACACGCAGCGGCTGCTGCGCCAACGACGCGACTGGAGGGCGATGCGGCAGCGGGTGAGGGGCTGTGGGCCTGGGTCACACGTGGTGCCACCATTCGAGCTCATCCTCTAACCAGAGGCCTCTGGAAGGGGCCTGGGGCCCTGAGTCTGAAACTGGGCTGTGTGACCTGGGCAGCGGGACTCCGTGCTCCTGAGGCTTGGTTTTCCCGTGGGGGACACAGGCGTGGTTATAACAACTCTCAGGTGGGAATTAAATGAGTCTGAGTCTGGGACAAGACTTCCCCTGTGCCTACAGCATGGAAAGCCCTCAGAAAATGCTACTGCAGCAAATGCTGGGCTCTGCAGTCACTCGCCACCGTCCTCCCCGGGACACACTGCCATGGCCCTCTTTGGGTCATTATTTGACTTCGTTCTCCACATCGGCTCATTTAATTCTCACTCCAACCCCGTATGGGGGGTGGGGGGCATTATCATCCCCATTTTACAGTTAAGGAAGTTGAGACTCTGCTTATGATCCATCTGCCAGTAAATGACAGAGTCAGGCCTTGACCCCAGCCTACGCCCTATGCCCTGCCCGCCTCTCAACTAGTGGGGTTGAGCCCACGTGGGTCTGATGCCAGGTTCCGGGTATGGGATGTTGGGGTGAAGGCAAAGATGGGGAGAGGTGGTCCCTGGCTCAGAGGAGTTGTATACACCCCCTCCCACCTCCAGACAGAGGAGAAGATCCGGGAGGCCAAGGAGCTGAAGGAGTTGTGTTCCAGCCGGGGCCCCTGGTTCTGGATCCCGCTCCGCTCCCACGCCGTCTGGGAGCACAACACAGTCCTGCTGACCTGCACTGTCCAGGGCTCACCTCCACCCCAGGTCACCTGGTAAGCTGCGGCCATGAGGTCACCCCCCAGGGGCAAGGGCTGCCCCACAAAGCCACAGCCACAGACCCCAACTCTGCCCATCCCAGAGAGAAGATGACAGCTGCGGGGAGCCTCGCTCCTGGGTTATTCTTAGCCACCTCCCCGCCAGCCTGGGGCTGGACATGGGGCCCTTCAGGGAGCCAGCCTTGTAAAAATATGATTCTGGTGGCAGAGGAAGACAGCTGCCCTGAGCTGGGCATCTCCAGGGCCAGAAGACGACGGTGACCAGAGGCAGGAGGGGGGAAGGGCAGGTCCTGAGGGAGGAGGTGCTCAGACCACAGGTGGGAGCCTGACTGGTAGGCCTAACCTCTACACCAGCTCAGGGTATGGGCTTGAACTTGTATCTAGACCTTTCTGAGTCTATCTCAGTTTCCTGTTCTGTAGAGTAGAAGACTTCTTTTCCACTGCATGAGGTGAGGATTTAGTACAACTCTCAGGAAGAAGCCCTCAGAGCTGTGAAGAAGCAAACTGTGACAGCAGGAAAGGCCATTCCTGAGAGCATAACCAAAGCAGGACTAGGCTAGACCCAACTGGGGTGGGCAGGGTCCCTGGAACGGGAGTGGTGGAGAGGGGGAGCACCTGGCCACATCCGGGAAGGAGGTACATTGTCTACACAGTGGGGCCAGTTTCCTGAGTTCCTGGGGTCTAAGGCTCATTGCCACTTGACACTGACTCAGCACTATTTTCTTATTTGTGCCTCAAGGCTACATATGCTGAGGGGATTGCTACCCCATTTCACAGATAAGATTAACAAGGCCCAGAGGGGGAAAAAAAACAAGGCCCAGAGGGTCATGTAACTTATCTAAGGTAACTCAGCAGTGTGAACCAAGATTCAAACTCACAGCTTCTGCCTCCGAGCTCACAACTCTTTCCACAGGGTCTAACGAGCCAGAGAGTGATCGCTAAAGCCATTATTTTCTATAAAGTTCTCAGAGTGCTCAGGAGTAGGAAATTGGAAGCGCTTAGCCCTAGAACAGTAAGAAAGGCCTATTGAGAGAGTCCTCTCCAGTACTGATCATTACCAGCTGGGCTCATTCAAAGACGTATGCCAGGCATGGTGCCTAGTGCTGGGGTCCCCTGGGGACCAGGACAGTCCTGCATGCAAGTGGCTAGTCCTAGCAGGACTGTTTTCAGCACAGCCCTGGGCTCCCTGATCGGAGCCTCTGCTGTTTGCCTCTCAGAAGGGAGACTGGCTTCCACTCTAACCAAGCAGGCTGCTACCGCAGGGCACCAAGCATTCCCTAGAGGAGAAAAGCCATGGCCTGTCCAGCCCACAGGTGGCCCTTGGAGCTCCCAGAGCTGGGAGGTGATTCCATCAGCCACCCCAGGGGTCCTGGTGGTCAGCTTCCCAAGTTCCCATCCAGGCCCTGCTAGAGACTTGGCCAACAAGAAGATCCCGGATGTGCAGGTGAATGTATTCATCCCACAATTAGTGAGCATTTCCTGGATGTAGAGGTGCTGTGAAGCCTTGAACACACAGCCTTACTCTAGCAAAGCAGCCACACCAAGCTCTCACTGGCCCACAAGAGAGGATTCAACTTGCTGTGGAGGGATGGGGAGGAGAGGAAGGAGGGAGGAGGGATAACGGAGAATGTTCCCAGAGGGAGCCCTACACCTCTGCCAGGAAACCTACGTCAGGCATTAGGGCCTCCCAATCCTCTCGAGGTTCCAGGGGCCTGGGCTGGGTTACAGAGGGCAGGACAAGGACAGAGGGTCAAGTGCCAGAAGGTGAGCTGGGGCCAGGCTTGGATGCCTGCACTGCCACTGCCACAGAGCTCTGGGCCCACAGAGAGCAAGGGAAAGTGACAGCACCCATATCTATACCTCCAGGGTCAGGAGCAAGGTGTGGCTTCCTGAGGGCACCGGGGAAGGAATGGGGAAATCCCAGTCCATCAGGGCACTGGTCAAGACAGGACAAATTCAGGGAGCCATGTCTAGCCACAGAAAGGTTCTTGAGGGCTGAGGAGATAGCTCAGTGGTCTAAGACCTGCCTGGGAAGCACAAGGACCTAGGCTCAATCCCTGGTACCATATGCTGTGCCAGCCCTGGAACCCCAGACCAGCCATGCCAGGCAATGAGTCTGGGCATAGTGGTGCACATATAATCCTAGCACTGGGACAGCTGAGACAGGAGAATCAGTGCAAGTCCGAGCTGCACAGTGAGACCCTGTACCAAATAAATAAATAAATAAATAAATAAATAAATAAAAGATTTTAAAAATTTAAAAAGAAAAGGTCTTGGGCTGAGGAGATAACTCAGCAGTTTAAGCACCTGCCTGGCAAGCCCAAGGTCCTGAGTTTGATCCCCAGCACAAAAAAAAGAAAAAAAAAAGGGGGGGGTCTTGAGCTTAACCAACTGTTACCAGTTAGAATCATCTCTCAGAAACACAAATTAAAAGGCTCACACTGTCCCGCCACTGAGATTGATGGGAGGGTTTTTTTTACAGGCCATGTGCATGTCCTTTCCCATAATTCCCTCTGCTATGACTGCATCTATGAGATGCTACCCATACTGACCAGAAGATAATGAGTTTGTTCTGGGCCAAAGGTTATTTTCAGGCACACTGACATGCTTCTGCATTGTGCCTAAGTTGAGGATTTCCCCAAGAACTGATTTATGTGCTGCTTCAACTGTGGCTATTTTGGGGGAGTTGGAGAGGTGGGACCCTGGGCAGGACCCTCAAAGATTGATGTGGAGATGGTCTTTAGCTCTTGATTGAGGGCAGGCATGCCCTGGCTGGTGCTAAATCCTATTCTGTTCCCAGCACTGGGGAGGCTGAAGCAGCAGGAAGATCATAAGTTCAAGGCCAGCATGGGCTACATAGCAATAGCCTATCTCAAAAGCCAGAAAAAGAAACGAAGAAAAAGAGAGAATAAGGAAGGGAGGGAGGGAGGCAGGGAAGGAAAGGAGAAGGAAGGCAAGGTTGGCTTCTTGAGATGAACACCCTTAAAGGTAAAATCTCACATCAGAATACAGGCAGAGGAGGGCTGGTGATTTAGCTCAGCAGCACAGTGCCTCCCTAGAAAGTGTGAGGTCCTGAGTTCGATCCCTGATACAAAAATTTAGCAATATAGGCAGAAGAATAAAAGATCTAGGTAAGTAATAAAAACCTCACTATTTTACAAGGACCATTCTAAGTCAGGCTCTGGGGTGTCCCCATTAACGCTACTCTGTTACCAGATGCCCCTTAGGACTGGCCACACAGCCAGGCCCAGACAGCAGGGTGGGGCCCAGCGCTGCAGCTGCTGCATTCTCTTGGAGAGGCAGAGCCTGGCTGGCTTCCTGGTCAGGAATGGTGCAAACAGGTGTGGGCTGGGGGCCTGAACCTTGTCCCCAGCTCCAAGAGCTAGAGAGAAATTGGTTCCCAGATTAAACACTGCCCTGCCCTGCCCTCCCCTCCAGTGGGAGACTAGTTAGGCCTCTGTTGAGAGGTCCCAGCCTGGGGACTGTGGGGGTGTGGCTGTGTTTGGTTGCCATGGACACAAACAGGGTCCAAGGGCCAGACACAAGGAAGCACCTTGAGGCTGAGGCACCCTCTGTTGGCAACGAAGGACAAGGGCACCTTCTTGCTCAACCTCACCCACCCATTCAATGGCCTCTGGGACACAGGGGTCCAGAGAGGGGCACTGACAAGCCCGAGGTCACACAGTAAGCTGTGTCAAGGACCCAGGCCTCCTAAGCTTCACTGACACTCACTCTCCCTCCCTGCTTTGACTTCTTAGGGCTCCAGGCCTCCAGGCCACCCATACATTAGGAAAGAAGACACCCCAAATTCACAGACAACAAAGGAGAGTGATACACTTGACCCCCATGGAAGTGTTTAAACATTACTGACTGGCCCAGTCCCACCCCAAGAAGCTGTGATTTCATTGAGTTGGGTGCCAGCTGGTGTGGGGTTTCGTTTTGCTTGTTTTTAATGCCTTAAATAAGATGAAAGTATGTTTCTGTCTCATGCAAGGGCCTGGCCTCCAGCCTGACTCCTGCCACAGGAGAAGGGCCTGAAAGGGTGCAGAGCCTGTCACCAAAGCAGCCACGTGATACTTTTGTCCTTACATGCCGCTGGCAATGGTCAGTCCTACTGTGTGCCTTGCAGGAAGAGGCGGCACAAGGAAGCAGATTAGAGACTGGGTGTCATGAAGGGTAAATTGTTTCTTCACAATTAAGGGAGAAGCCAGGTATGATGGCACATGCCTGTAATCCCACTTGGGAGGCTGAGGCAGGAGAATAGTTGGGAGTTCAAGGCCAGCCTGGGCTACAAAGTGAACTCAATCCCAGCCTGAGCTGTATAGCAACACCCTGTTTCAAAAATCGTGGGATTTTTTTTTTTTTCATTGTCTTTTTGAGACAGGGTTTCCCTCTTTTAGAAAGAAGGTTTCCCTCTGGAGTCCCAGCTAAACTTGAGCTTACTTTGTAATCCAGGCTGGCCTCAAATCAAACTCAGAGTGATCCTCCTGCCTCAACCTCCCAAGTGCTGGGACCACCATACCCCAGTAAGGAGGGGAGAACTGTTACTGGGGGCAATGGCAGTTCCCCAGGGCCGAGTTCAAGCACTAGGCATAGAGGGGTTTTTTCAGCTTTTGGGTTTGTTTTTTTGTTTTGTTTTGTTTTCCTGCTGAGGCTACAACTCAAGGTCTGGCAGCACTGGGGAAGGGCTCTGCCACTGAGCCATATGTCCGCGTGGAGATTTCCAAAGCTCCTAAGAAGATTAGGATGAGAATCACAACTAGGACTGGCTCTCATGGGAAGCCAATCAGGGAGTAGTGAGGGGGGACTTTTGCTCATAAGAAAGGAGGGAACAAATCCATGCTCTGGTTCCTAGGGTATTCCTGGCAGGGAAACAGCCACCCTGTCATGGGTCCTCCGCATCCTTCCCACTGGGAACCACGCCAGCTGCCACACTCCCCGTGTCTCCACAGGTACAAGGATGATGTGCGCATTGATCCCCGCCTCTTCCCTCCTGGCAAGTACAGAATCACCAACAACTACGGGCTGCTGTCCCTGGAGATCAGGAGGTGAGCCTGAGCCCAGGGACCAGCACTGCAGGCCCAGCATTGCTGGGGTCAGAGAACTTCCTCTCGGCTGTTCCCCTCCGGGTTTGCCTCGCCTGCAAAAGTATGCCTGGTGCTTGTGACAATACTGATCCCAGGTGGACACTCCCCACGCAACAGGGATTCATATTCAGTAGCTAGGGCCCAGCCTGGGAACCGGCATTTCGTCCACATACGCACACAGGCACACACGTAAGCATGCATGCGAGCCTCCTGTGAGGCCATTACTCTGGAATACGTGATGAGAAATCACAGCCTAGGCTAGCCGGAGGAGAATACTGAGCTGGGTATGCAGATAAGAGAAAACTCAGCTAAGTGCCGCGTGCACACCCAGTCATACCCAGTCGGGACGCATGGGAGTCCTCTCAGGAGATGATGCGCCTTAAGCAGATTCCAGAGGAGGAGGTGGGTGCTTGGAGAAGGACTGTGTGGGAACGGTCAGGTCCAGTTCTCCCAAGAACCTGTCTGAGCAACCCTGTGCTGGGTTCTTCCCAGGTCCGATACCCCGGCTAGGTGCACACACACAAGCTCCATGGTGCCCGGCACTGTTGCCAAGAGGAGAGCCTGGTTAGCCCCATGTTCAAAGCAGGCTCTGAAAGATAGCGGGTTTTGCAGTTACTGCAGAGCCTGTTCTGTGGGTCTGGGGTCTTTCTAATGTCTCAAAGCCTCCACCTCAACCAACTTGGGCCTCTGAGGCACAGAGGCAAGCAGAAAGTGGACCCTTCCCTCCAGAAGCGCCTGGCCACACAGGCTACAGCACCGAGGTGCCCGCCTCTGCATGGCCAGGGTCAGGAAGTGACCCACTGCCCCTCGGGCCGCCTCAGCTTGCTGATAGGCCACATGGATGGAATGCCTATCCTCTTTGGCACCGAGGTACCCTTAGATGGAACCAGGCCACACTTCCACTAGGAATAAGGCAGGGTTGGCACGGCTGAATGTAAGACATGGGCCAGAGACTGAACTCCTGGCATCCTGCCTAGCTGTGGCACAGGTTGGCAGTATGCCTGAGCATGTCCGTGTGAAAGGACATGCCCTGCTCTGAGAGTCTACTTGGACGCGTCACTAGGGCAGGAGGCCATGCCTGGAGAGGGTTTGTCACCTTGAGCCTGTGTTGAATTCCATTTGCTGTGTGACTCTGGGCCAGTTGCTTTACTTCTCAGACCCTCCAAAGTCAGTAGTAACAATACACTTTAGCACAGGACATTTTCAAAGCACTTTCCCTGAGGACTTCCTGTCATACCAGCATTTCCCATCATGCAGTGGAGCCTGCCTTTCCCATGGAGGCCTGCTGTGCAGAGGGGCTTCACAATGTCTTCTTTGCAGATGCACCTTGGAGGACGCAGCCACCTACACAGTGAAAGTGAAGAACGCCTACGGCCAGGCCTCCTCCTTCGCCAAGGTCCTTGTCCGCAGTAAGTCCGCCCACTCCCGCCGGCCAGGCCAGGCCTTGGCAAAGCTGCCATAGGCAGATGGAGATGAAGCTGTGGTCAGATCCGGGGCCCAGGGCTGCCGAGCTGGGTAGGAGCAGGCCGCCAGGGAGGCTCACTTCCCTGAGGCCTCAGAGCGGACAGCCTCCACCATCAGGCCAGCATGGGCAGCGGGGCCAGTATGGATGGTGGTGATGATACAAGGCTTGTACGGCAGGAACCTCTGCCCCAGGGTAGGGATCAAGAGGAAGGGGGCTGAGAAGGAAGAGGAAGGGGCTGATCTTTTCTGAGTTCTGCTCCACACATAGGTCCCGAGCTGGTCTGGACCTTGGCTGTGCCTGAGGTCATCCCTGGCCTCCATGGCAATTTTGTGTCACCAGAGTGGGTGAATTAGAGAAAGAGACACTCTCCTCCCTCTCTGGGCCATATGACTTAACAAGTGCAAAGCAGCCTGGGTTCAGCCCATATCTGTCCCTGTATAGGGACAACCCATTTAGCTGACCAAGGTGACCTTGCCTGTCTGTGTTCAAAGAACCTGCTTGGCTCACCCAGTCAGACCTGCCACCTCTCACCTGCCCACACTGCCCCTCCGACTCCTCGTACATATCTCCCAGTTGGACACGGATAGCATGGCGCAGATTGCAGGTGTCAGCCAGAGCTGAGTCCCCTCCCACCTCTGCCCTGGCTGCCCTGGCCAGTCCCTTTTTGAGTCCCACCGCCTCCCCCAGATGCTCATGCTGATTAATGAGATGTGCACATTCAGCTAGGCTCACAGGAAGCACTCGGGAAAGGATAACTTCACATTGCTCTCTAAGACCAGCCAGACCACAGTCTGGAGCCATAGTCCTAGGCCCAGTGCTGTCCCCACCTTCAAGTTCCCTGGGAAGCAGACATGCACGTGTACACACACACGTATACACACGTGCACACACATGCGCACACACACTCTCCCAGGGCTGCTGTCCCAGACAGCAGACAGGCTAGTGGCCAGCCCTGCCCTCACAGACCAGGTTAAACTGTCCTTTGCTGTCCTCCCACCCCCGGCCCTGTTCCCCAAATAGCTGCTGTGAGGCTTCTGCCAAGGAGCCTCCGAATGGGAACTTGAGCTGCTCCCTAGGCTGTTCCGAGAGCCTAAGGACGGACGTCAGGCCCCACAGCCCTCTGTCACCTGCCCTTCCCCTCACTTCAGCCAGATTGCTGTTGTCCCTCCCTCCATCAGAGCCCACAACACCAGTCACCCTCAGCCAAGCCCCGGCTTCCCTCTCCAGGGCAACTTCAGGGTCCTGAGCCAAGCCCCAGGCTAGGAAGCAGGAGCCCTGGGTCCTAACACTGCCCTCCACTGGCTCCCTGTGGGATACAGGTGGCCTCCTTCAGGGCTCCCCCAGGAAGGGCCTTTGGGGGACCAGCGCCACATCATAGCTTCAGGCTGCTGAGGTCCACTGGGTAAGGCCACATCATGGCTTCAGGCTGCTGAGGTCCACTGGGTAAGGCCACATCATGGCTTCAGGCTGCTGAGGTCCACTGGGTAATAGTGTCCCCGTCTCCTCATCCTTAGGAAAAATGAATCATGGCACCCCACACATAAACACTGAGAGCAGCTGCACCCCTAAGGCATCCCTCCAGGCAGTCGTACCTGTGCTAATCCTATGAGAAACAACAGAGTCTCAGACCAGGCCCCACTTTGTGAAGACCATACGACTCTAGGGCCCAGGGGGGCAGAGCAGGAACCCAGTGTGTATCGAGCACTTACTTTGGGCCAGGTTCTGGTTGAGGCCTTTATTCATATGACTTCATTCATTCATAACCAAATACCAAAGGTAGGAATTAATGTCCCCATTTTACTGATAAAGAAACTGAGGTACAGACAGGTAAAGGCAGAAGTGGCTAGCAGACTAGACCTGCCAAGGCCCATGTCCCCACATGTAGTAGGAAAGTAGTCTGAACCCCCTTTGATTTGATTTGCTTTGCATTTCTAGCTTATGTGGGGAAGGAGGCTGGCTTTGATTCAGAGATCTTTAAAAGTAAGTAGACCAGGGAGGGATGGGGCTTTGGGGGGCATCTGGGACTCCTTGTTCAGGATTAGCTTCACAGTGCTTTTCAGAGTAGAGCCACCCTTGCCCACAAGGTGTCCCTAAGGGGATGACATTCACTAGCTGTTAATAATACAGACTGGCATGTAAGCCTGATTGATGTCAGAGCTGCCCTCAGCCATTGAGCCATCCCTTGACCAAAAGGCCTAGAAGGACAGAAGACGATGGGCTTGGGCTTGAGGTGTTTGCTGTTCTGGCTTACCTGGTCCCCACCTGGACAAGCCTCATGGGCCAGGCCCCCTTCCTTGTCACTTCCCCCCCACCCCAGAATCCTAACCCTGAGGACAAGGGTGCCAGGCAGGTCCTCACTTCCCTCTAGGCCCCTGGCATCCCAAGACTGCTGCCCTCAATTTCTGTCCCAACCCTAGGATCAATGTTTGGCCCCAGCGTGGAATTCACATCGGTGTTGCAGCCTGTCTTTGCCCGTGAGAAGGAGCCTTTCTCCCTGTCCTGCTTCCTTTCTGATGATGTGCTTGATGCTGAGCAGAAGATCCAGTGGTTCCGAGATGGTGAGGACCCTGGTTCTGGCCCCTGGCCCTCTGTGGCAAAACCCCACCCCAACCCTGGAGCCCAGCTGATACTCAGAGGTCAGAGGCAGAGGGACCGGAGCCCTGGGTCTATCCCTAACCCTGAGATCTGCATGAGATTCTGCATGGCCCCTCAGGCCAGCACTGGTGGCATCGTCTGTGCTACAGAGCCAGGGGTGGGCAACAGCACAGCCAGGTGCAGTCACTAAGCAACTGTAGGATGCCAGGCCCTGGGCAGTGGGTAGGTAGAGCCATGAGCTCCAGAGCTGCCTGTCTTCAAGGTAGAAGGAAGCCATCAGCACCATGCTAGCTGCTGCCCTAGTCCTACCTGTGGATGTGAGGTCAGGCTCTGGCTGGGTCCTCTGCCTGCGCTGTCACCACCCTAGCAGGACCAGTGGCATTCAAAGCAAGCAGACTGGAAGCCAAGGCCTGAGGTCAGGAAAGCCCCGCAAGCACTCAGAGCAGGCTGCATGGCTTGCGTGAGACTTCCCGAGTCAGCATGCAGGCACTTCCTGGGGACATTACAGGGGAGGGGGGAAACGTGAGGGCTCCCACTCCTACTCTGAGACAGGGCTGCAGCACCCCAGCTCTGAGTCCAGGGAGGCTGCACCTGCAGGAGGCAGGAAGAGGGGAGGAGAAGCCGTAGGAACCCAAGAAACACCTGCCATAGAAGTTTCCCCAAGCCGTAGAGGTTTCCCCAAGCCATAGATCTTCCAGATGAGAGGAGCTGAGAGGAGGACGAGCTTCCTCATCTGACAGAGAACAGTGGCTCAGCAAGGGGGCTAGACAGAGCCCCTCCTGGAGCCCAGCAGGGCCTTTTCACATCCTCACCAACTCTCCTCACTGAGCTCTAGCCCTTGAACCAGCCCTCCACCCTCCTCCCTGAGAGACCCCCAATGCCCCAGGTAGATGTGGAGCCTTTTACTGATCTCCCCTGTCTAACCCTCCCCCCGTCTCCCACCCACTGAACCCCATTCACCTTCAATAAGCCTGTTCTTTGAGCATCCAGCCTCATGCAGGGCCCAATCTCTCTTCCTCGTAGAACCCCAATTTCTCACTTTCCCACCCATTTCCCTAAACCTTCACTGTCTCCTTGATCCCCATCCCTGCCCCATCTCAGCTTTCCATAGAGGATAGTGGGGCTGCCACCTTGGCAGAGTCCAGAAGTCTCTGCACTGAGCTGAGCCTCAGGCTTCTCTTCCCAACCAGGGCTCCAGAGCACCCCTAAAGGGGAGGCTGGGATCCCCCTACAAGCACACAATGGAATGCCCTTATCCTCTGCAGGCAGGGCCCTGAGGTCCTCAGGACGCCGGCACATCCTCTACGCAGACCGCCAGGCGTCGCTGAAAGTGTCCTGCGCCTACAAGGAGGACGAGGGTCTGTACAGCATCCGGGTACCTTCAGCACTTGGGCCCCACGAGCAGAGCGCCTATGTGTTTGTGAGAGGTGAGGAGTGGTGGGAGGCAGCTGCCATGGTGCAGAGACCAGGGCTCTGCAGCTGACCTGAGATGGGTCTCGGCCCCCTAAGCTCTAGGCATCTGTTTCTCTACTCTAAAATGAGGGTGTTGGGTTAGAGTCTTTCAAAGGACCCCTACAGCAAACTGGGGTGCACCAAAATGACCCATCCCAGGAGGCGAACTTTAGGGTTAGATGGTTCTGGTTGTTGGCTGGGTTTCAAATCCTTGCTTGGTCACTTCACTGGCTGAGTGACCTTAGACGTGTCACTTCACCCCATCTTCAGATGCTGCCGCTGAGAATCCAGGGGCCCCAGGCTCCCCGCTGAACGTCCGGTGCCTGGATGTGAACAGAGACTGCCTCATCCTGACCTGGGCCCCACCCAGTGATACCCGGGGCAACCCTATCACCAGCTACTCCATCGAGCGGTGAGTGGGCCTCTGCAGTGGCAGCCCCTGGGTAGGATTCTGCACAGCTCTAAGGACGCGAGCGGAGCCACAGGAAAGAGGACGGATGCCTAGCCTTGGGGACCTCCCTCCCCACTGCTGAGAACAGGACAGGAGACTGATGGGTTGTATGCTTTAGGGGTTCCCAGCCCTCAAAGCTGTGGTCACACCGACACCTAGAATTCTGGGGCAGCACAGTGTCCAGAGGCTGAGAATCTGTTTGATTTTCCCCCATGTCAGACCTGAAAGGAAGGCAGAGTAGGAATCAGGGAGCAGGCCAAGAAGCCCCAGCTGGACAGATTACCTGACTCTCTCCACCACAGGGGCTGGCTGTCTCATTTCTTCTTTACAGTAACTCCTGTGTAAAGGAGAGGGGGACTTCAGATGAGGAAACTGAGGTACTGAGGGAGACAACCTTGTATCCAGAGTCACAGCGTTGGAGGCAGTCCCAGACCAAAATAGCACACAGGCTGTCCAACCCTGAGGACAATCGTACCAATAAGGCACAGGCAGCCAGACCTGGAGGGTCAATCAGGAAGGCAGGACGAGAAGGGCAGTGGTGGCTGTTTGTTACTCTTATAAGCTCTTAAAGTTTGTTGTCACTGGTCTAGGAGGTGGGCAGCCCTCAGGGAGATCCTGTGTCAGGTCCTCTCACTCCAGTGGCAGGTGGCCTACTTGGGGAGGGACAGAAGTCACACCCAACTCCCAGAGCTGCTGGAGGATGAGATGATGGGGACAGAGGACACAGCCCCCAGCAGGAGCAACTGCAGAAGCGGTACTGACTGCCTGGGTCAGCGTGAGGCAGACAGACATGACTGCAGCCGGGACTTTAATCAGCAGAGAAAGGCAGGCAGGCTGTCCCAGTCAGTCAGCGGCACCTACTGGAGGTGCAGGGCATGGGCAGGGGCTGAAAGCCAGGACCTGTCTTCCACAGGTGCGAGGGTGACTCTGAGGAGTGGGTGCCCTGCCATGTGGCCCCAGGGGGCACCTGTCGATGCCCGATCCAAGGCCTCATCGAAGGCCAGAGCTACCGATTCCGTGTGAGAGCCATCAGCAGGGCGGGCAGCAGCCTCCCCTCCAAGGCCTCAGAAGTAGTTGTCATGAGTGACCGGGATGCAGCCTGCAGGGAGACAGGTGAGTACAGAGGCCCTGAAGGGACATTCTAGAGCATCAAGCAGGTTGCATGTAGGACTGCCTCACACAGCAGAGGACACAGGCCAGCCCTCAGGAGGCCCTTATCTAAAGGAGGAGACTCCTGTCCTTATCTGAGGCAGAAAGTCTGATGTCCAGTGGAGACCCCAATCTGAGGAAGGACCACAGTGCCTTCTTCAGATGTCCCCAGTCTGATGGAGGAGACAGTCCTGCCCTCAGGAGCCCCAGTCCAGGGGAAAGGTGGGGACATATCGCTCTCAGCTGTTAAGGGTCACCCTGACTTAGGTTTGCCAGTATGGCCACACACACCACTCCTGCTGTCTCCACTTGCCCCACAGACAGAGCATGTCTCAGAGGCTGAAGGCAGCAGGGCTCTACTTTGGAGCCCTGAGAAAGCTCGACCCCGAGCACACCTGCCTGAGGTAACACGGTGAGGGCTACTAGGCCAGGATGAGACAGGCAGGGCTCAGGGCCTGAGGCAGGGCAGGCCTGGCTTGCCCTTGACCTGGTACCTGCCTGCTCCTTCCACCTTCCTAGAGGTCTCCTTTGACCTGGGCAGCAAGATCACCATCAGCTTGGACGATTTTGAAGGTAGGCCTGATTTTGCCAAGCCCTGTACCTCCAGCCAGCTCCTGAACAGTTCTAGAGATTGTGGGTCAGATGGGAAAACAGGAATGTTCTCCACGTTGGAGTATGGGGTGTGAGGGCCGGAGGGTCTAGCTGGAGGAGGTCTGGGCACTGGGGTCACTGTGGCCTCCTGGCTATGCTGCTGGTAGAGGAGGTGGTGTATGGAGACTCCTTGGACAGAGCACCCAGAAGACCAGGGGCACAGGGTTTTCTGCCCCAGCTGGGTGACCTGGAGCAAGTTCCTGCCCTCTGTAGGCCCCAGTTCCCTCTGATGTGGAATGAGGAGCTGGAATTAGGGGCTCCCCCATCTCTTCCCTGGATGATTCTGATTCCAGATGCTGTGACCATCCCCTCACCTCCGACCAATGTCCATGCCAGCGAAATCCGGGAGACCTATGCGGTTCTAAGCTGGGAAGAGCCAAGGCCCAGGGGCAAAGCCCCACTGACTTACGCCCTAGAGCAGGTAGGAGACCCCAGAAGCCAGCCTGGGACAGCCTGAGAAGCAGACACACTATGGGCCCAGGCACTGGGAAGAACGGGGTGCTGAGAAACCTCAGGCAGAGTCTCTGGGAGCCTTGGCTCAGGGGAGACAGCATGGCCATGAAGAGCAATTAGACTCAGGCATCTATGGGGTGATCCCAAGCCAGTTCCCTACCTTCTTGGAGCCTTGGTTTCCTCCATCCCAGAATGGAGCACCTAACCAACAAGGGCAAGCTATGGAACAGCACAGAGCCAAGGCCTGCATCCGGGGCTGCACAGGCCTCCCAAGCAGTGTTCTTGAGTCCTCTGCCTAACGGCAGAGCCCAAGTTTCTCTGACTCACTGTGCTCACCATAGTGCCTTGTACATAGTAGGTTTACTGAATAAACGAACTTAGACTATCCAGGGAGGAATCTCTAACTCTGTATAACCAGGAGATGGCTCAGTGGAATAAGCGCTTCCCTGGCAAGCACAAGGGCCCGAGTTCAATCCCTGGTTCTGGGGAAAAAAAAAAAAATTCTCTTTTAAGAGCTCCTCTAACTCTTTATATCCAGATGGTCACTGGCCTCAGTACCTAATTTTCCAAACTAGGAAGCAGTAGGTGGTTGCAGCGTTGTTCCGCGAGCTGCTGAGTGCAGTGCTGACCTCCTTGGAGCCAGACCGCCCAAGTTCAACCCCTGTCTCCGCTACCACAGCTGTGTGACCTTGTGGAACTTATTTACTCTGTGGGGCCTCTGTTTCAATGTTCATAATAATCACAAACATCTTATAGGGCTCATGTGAAGATCCGATTAAGACACACAAAGACAGAATGGAGGGTCAGGAATATAGCTTGGCGGCACAGTGTCTGATGGGCAAGCAGGAGGCTCTGAGTTTGATTCCTGGTACACAAAAAAAAAAAGCAGACAGACCAGAGCCTGTTCCCAGTGAGCATTCAGCAGCCTTCACTGTTCTTTGCAGTGATTTTTTTTTTTTTTTTTCCTGGCCTCTCTGGGTTTCAGGCCACTGCCAGCCGGCTGGGCCAGAAGAGGTAATATGGGAGGCGGGTAGGGTTGGTGCTTCTGGGTTTGGTGCACCTTAACCCCATCACTCGAGGTCTCCCACACCTGCCCAGAGTCTCAGGAGGACAGGTGGCCACCTTGGGTCCCTCAGGATGATGACACCTTTTAGATTCCACAGGATAAACAAGAGCCTTTGGGGTACCTAGTGCTTCAGCAAGCAAACCAATTCAGAAACGGCCACGCTTGAGTTTCAGGCCCTCTCCAGCAGGTGTTTAGTGTGGGCCTTCCAGGCAAGATACCCAAAAGGCTCTATACCTGAGTGTCTCATGGGTATAGAAATTAACACCTAGTGCCCAGGGCTATTGTGAGGACTCACCCCTTGATTCATCCCTGGGCAGGTGCTATTCTTGGGCCTGGTGATACAGCAAGGTGAGGAGACAACCAGAAAAGCAAGGAGAATTGGAAAAGCACATTAGCTCATTAGTAGTGCCTGGCACTGAGGAGAGAGATGCAGAACAGGGGCTGCTGCATGTTAGATGCTGTGTCCAGGAGCCCTGAGACCTGCATAAAGCAGAGGGAGGAAAAGCACAGAGGCCCAGGGGGGACCTGAGCCACCAGTGTGCGGCAGGGGGGCACAGGGCTGTGGTCAGACAAGTAGCCAGGTTCAGCTTGCTGCTGGGGAGATGAGGAATTTGAGAGACCTCCAAGCAAAGAGGGCCCTGTGCTGGCCTGTGCCGTCAAGATCCCTCTGGAGGCCCCTTAAGAAAAGATTGAAAGAGGGTTGGCGAGATAGCTTAGCGGACTAAGTGCCTGCTTAGCAAGCACAGGGGTCGGGGTTTGATCCCTGGTACCTCATGCCGCACCGGCCCTACCCCTGGGTGCACTGAGCTGGTGACTGAGTTCAAGCTATAGATAACGCTGGCCTGAATCTAGGATAGGGTAGGAAGTGTGAAGGGTTGAGTCATGTTACTCTCGATACATTTTCTGGTTTTCTTTTTCTTTTTTCATGACTGAGGATTGAATCCAGGGCCTTTGCATGGAGCTATATCCCCAGCTCTTTCTTATTTTTTAATTTTGATGCAGGGTCTAGCTAAGTTAGTCAGGCTAGAACTTACAATCCTCTTGCCTCAGCCTCCCAAAGTACTGCCTTACAGACATGCACCACCATGCATGGCTTGAATACTACCCCCCCCCCTGCAGGACTAGTGCAGTACTGGGGATCAAATTGGGGACTTTGCACCTACCAGGCAGGTGCTTAAGCCACTGAGCTATATCCCCAGCCTCTTGGAGGCATTTTAAAGGTGGCACAAATTGGGTCTGTTGATAGGAATGTATTTGTTTTTGTTTTTTTCTTTTTTCTTTTTTTGGCGGTACTGGGGATTGAACTTAGGCCCTTTTGCTTACTAGGGAAGCGTTTATTCTACCGAGACATCTCTCCAGCCCCGATAGGAGTGTATTTGGAGTGTGAGGGAAAGAGCTACAGTTGGGTCCCAGGGTCCAGGCCTGCATCACTGGAAGTACAGAGTGGGAGCACAGGTGTGAGGAATCCTGGGGCTGAGTGCTAGACAGCTACAGGGGCAGGCGCAGGAGAAAGGCTGAGGAGGAAGCAGATGGACCAGGGCTCGGGCAGCCTGCCTGGGGAGATCATGAAGGCAGCGTGGTGAGGGTCGCTCTGAGCAGCAGCTTCGCTGATGCCACTTCCTCTTTGCCTCCAGTCGGTCATAGGCAGTGGCAGCTGGGAGGCTATCAGCTCAGAAACTCCGGTGAAATCTCCGAGGTTTGCCCTCCTGAACTTGGAGAAAGGGAAGTCATATGTCTTCAGAGTGCGGGCCGTGAATCAGTATGGCATGAGTGACCCCTCGGAGCCCAGCGAGCCCATTGCCTTGAGAGGCAAGACAGGTACCATGTGATGCAGCCAGAGGGGTATGAAGCCCTGGCAGAATAAAAGAAGAGGAGAAAAATGGAGTGTGTCAAGAAAAAATATTAGAGAAACCCCACATTTGTACCAAAAGGAAGACAGGGATCCAACAAATGATGTGGAAGGGTGCCGGGGAGATGGCTCAGTAGAGTAAGTGTTTGCCTGGCAAGCACAAGGGCCTGAGTTCAATCACCAGTTCCACAAAAAAAAAAAAAAAAAAAAAAAAAAAAGGTGTGCAAGGACTTTGAAATGTAAAGGAAGGACTAAAAAGATGGTGAACCTGCCTTCCAAGTATCCATCCATTCATCCACTCATCCATCCATCCACTCATCTACCCACCTACCCACCCATCCACCCACCCAACCATTTATCCATCATCCAGCCAACCATCCATATATCTATCCATCAGCCCATCCATCTATCTATTCATCTACCCACCCACCCATCCATCCATACATCTATTCTTCTACCCATCCATCCATCCATCCAACTACCCATCCATCTATCCACCCATCTATTCATCCACCCATCCACCTATCTATTCATCTACCCACCCACCCATCCATCCATCCATCTATTCATCTACCCATCTATCCATCCATCCAACTATCCATCCATCTATCCATCCATCTATTAATCCACCCATCCTTCCATCTACTCATCCAGCCAACCAGCCATCCACCCATCCATCCATCCACTCATCCATCCATCCTTCTGTCTACTCATCCAGCCAACCAACCATCCACCCATCTACCCATCCAACCAACCAGCCCCCTATCCATTGGCAAATCATGGAAGCTCCAAATCAAGGAGCTTAGTATCCAGAAAACATGAAAAACAATAGATAAATGTTAAGAAAGGAAGAAAACCAAGTTTTCTTGAGATTAAAGGTAGGGACTGAGGAGGGCTGTCAGATTTGGTCACTTTGAGAGAGATTGTGAGACTCGAGGAGGGAGGGCTTTGGTGCTGGAGTGAGGAAGCAGAGATGCTCAGCAGCCATGGAAGAGAGGACTTCCAGGATAGGAGAGTCCAAGATGCACTTTTGAGCCCGGGAAGTCAGACCCAAAGTTCCTGGGCAAGGCTGAAATCCGTGTGATGTCCTGGTCTGATGCGGGCCTCCTCCCTGCCTCTCTCCACAACCCTGCCCACAGCCTGTCGGGGCCTTCACTCTGTGTCTCTTCCTATCTTTCTATTTTTCAGCTACTCTCCCTCCTCCAGCTCAAGTTCAAGCTTTCCGAGACACGCAGACCTCTGTGTCCCTGACCTGGGATCCTGTGGATGGTGGTGCCGATCTCCTGGGATATTACATCTACTCCCGGGAGGCAGGTTCACCTGAGTGGCAGACAGTCAACAACAAACCCATCCAGGGCAGCAGGTGAGTCTACCACCCCACCTGCAGCAGGCATGCAGTCCACCATGGCGTCACAGCTGTATGCTAAGCCCTGCTGCAAGTTCTTCACATTAAGAGTTCTAACTCTCACAGAAGTCCTGAATTTGGATGATTTGGGAGGATTGTGCTTGTGTGTTTGTTTGCATGTTTGCTTGCTTGCTTGTGGTACTAGGTATTAAACCCAGGGACTTCATGCTGAGTGCCACCCCTCCCTCCCCGCCCCTTCCACCTTTATTCTTCATTTTGAGATAGATTCTCACTAAATCCCTTCATTTCCCAGGCTGGGCTCAAGCTTGTGATCTTCCTACATCAGCTTCCCAGAGTGCTGGGATTCTAGACGTGGGCCACGGTGCACAGTTAGGATGATTGCTTTTATTACCATCTTACCAAGGCAGGAACTGAGGCACAGAGAGATTGAGCATTTGCCAACACTCTATAGCTAGGAAGAGGAGGGACAGGGAGTTGGTCCCAGATGGTCTATTTGAACACGCACTTGCTGAGGGCATGTTCTCTACAGAAGTCTGAGGATGGGGGTGACCCTGGATTGCAGGAGCTCCCTGCAGAACCAGATCTGCTACAGGAAAGTGCAGATAAGAGGAAGGGGAGAAAAATGACCACAACCTGAGCTTTATCACAAAGGGGTAGGAAGAGAAGGCCCATTTTCTGTAAACCAGGTGTCTTTGTATATGTCTGAATGACAATTCCTTCTGGGGTCTTTAGAAGGACTTTGTGTTTTGGGTCATAGTGGTACTGAAGATTCTAACAGCCACTTGTTCTTGTTCAAAATCAAAACCAAAAGCTCTGAAGATGCCCACATAGCACTGGGGCCAGGGTGGGCGGCCTTGGCCTTAAGTTGGTTACTTTTTCAGTGTTCAGTATTTGTACTCTGACAATGGTCCTGAGAAGAGCAGGCACCCTTTACACCTCAGGACAACATCCTCCACGGAGCCAGCTCAGGCTAGGGGGTTGGGGACCATATGTTTAGGGAAGAATAGGCCAGAACCCCCCACAAGCTACATGGCATTGGTAATCGCTTAGCCCACAGGGTTCAGGTCTTTGGACTCTGGCTATCCCTGAAGCCTGCACTTTCTCTCCCAGGTTTACAGTTCCAGGGCTGAGGACCGGGAAGGAGTATGAGTTCTGTGTCAGGTCGGTCAGTGAGGCTGGTGTGGGGGACAGCTCAGCCCCCGTGGAGCCCCTCAGGGTCAAGCAGGCACTGGGTGAGTCCCCAGCAGGTCCAGCCTGCCACTTTTTGGAGCGTCATGGGCTGGGCAGGGGCCACTTCAACCCAGGTCAGGGAAGACAATGCTGGCTCAGGGTAGACCCCCTGCAGCAGGGTGGGCGCCCACCCAGGGAGGCTCACAGGCTCCCTTGGGCCCCACTACCCTGTCCAGGCAGCTGCCTGCCTCCTGCCTCCCACAGCCACCCCGTCTGCTCCATATGACTTTGCCCTCCTGTACTGCGGGAAGAATGAAATGGTCATTGGGTGGAAACCCCCCAAGCGTCGTGGAGGTGGCAAGATCCTGGGCTACTTCCTGGACCAGCACGACTCGGAGGAGCCAGACTGGCACCCAGTCAACCAGCAGCCGGTCTCCAGTCGGGTCTGCAAGGTGAGCAGGAGTGTAGCCGTGGGCTCATGTCCCTGCTGCGTATGTGACAGGACACAGTGGACACTGCGTGAGGCCTCCAGCTGTGCATGTGGCCTCAAGTTCCCCTGATGCCACTGTCCAAACCCTGTGCTTGGGAGTTCAAGCACAGACCATTTCTGAGATCCTGTTTAAAGCCCCTAAGATCCAGTTGTGGTGGTGCACACCTGTAACCGCAGCACCCCTCCCCCCACCAGAGAGACAGAGGCAGGAGGGTTGCAAGTTTGAACCCAGCCTCTGCAATTTAACACTTTAGCAAGATGCTGTTCAAAACTAAATAACTAAATAAACTAAATAAATAAATAAATAGGAAGGGCTGGGAATGGAGCCCAGTGCAAAGGCCCTGGATTCAATCCCTAGTGCTGGGGGTAGGAGTCCCTGAGGACCATGTGTGCATACACACACACACACACACACACACACACACAGCACCTCTTCCCCAGCCACAGCCAAAGAGTCTGTCTTGTCTTTTTTTTTTTTTTTAACATTTATTTATTGTGGGGGGGGGGGGCAGCTCAGCCCACCAGGGGGCGAGGCTGGCTGGCATGTGGTGCTGGGGGATTGAACCGCGGTCCCTGTGCTTTACCAAGCTTGTTCCAAGTAGGTGCTTTAGACCACTGAGCCATCTCTCCAGCCCAAACGAGTCTGTCTTTCCACTCCTCCAGGTCAGCAACCTCCATGAAGGCCACTTCTATGAGTTCCGTGCCCGGGCAGTAAACTGGGCAGGTGTCGGTGAGCTGTCAGCACCCAGCAGCCTATTTGAGTGTAAAGAGTGGACAATGCCCGAGCCAGGTGAGGCCCGAGGGCTGTGGTCCAGGCTGCCTTGCCTGCCCTCTCCACCCGGCACCAAAGAGAGGAGCAGTGTGGCAGCCCCCTTATGTTCAGTCTTGCTCAGTTGGGCTGGATCCCAGCCCCTGACCCTTCCACAGACAAACCTTGGATTCCTCAGTGCAGACTGTCCTGAGCCTTCCAAAGAGGGTCCCTGATTGACCACCTCCTGGGCCGGCACCCCACGGCAGCCATCCGCCAGCTCCCGCTCCATCCAAGCTCTGATTCCGCCCCTAGCCCCTCACGAACGCCACAGGGGCGAGGTCCACCCTGGTCCACCTGGGACTCCTCCAGTTTACCCCTGGAGGATGCACCTTCCAACAGTAACCCCCCAGCATGCCCCCTCACCTCCCCCACAGAAGGAACAATGGCAGTGTCTGTCCTGCTGTTCAGCTGCATTCTATTTTATGCATAAAGCCTTCACCTGGTGCCAGGTGATTACAATGCGTGGTGCTTTCAGGAGCAACAATTGTGACCAGCTAATATTTATCTGGTAACGACTACGTACCAGACACTGCCACGGATATTCTCACTAACACAGCAGCGCCGGGAGGGCTGTTATCTTCCCACTTTACAGGAGAGGAAACAGCAATGTGGAGGTTAAGTAGCTCATCTAGAGTCTGCCTGGCTAAGAAGGAAAGCTGGGACCCTATCCCCAGTTAGTCAGGCTCTGGGGGTCACACTGTACCCCTCTGCTAAATACTGAAATGGCCACGATGTTAGAAAGGCTCCAGGCAGGCTCAGAGAAGCTGCCAGGAGGAGATGGCACTGAGTGTATTTCGAGGCTTTCACCCCACTTTAGCCCAGAACCCACTTTGTCACAAAGCCAAGGCTGGCCAGGTCTCCCAGTGCCTGGAGCAGGCCCTTCCAGGCTTGGTGGGGACTAATAAATTGACCAGTTGCTGACTGGTCAATGCCTGGCTGCCAGCTACCTGGCTGGCTGGTTGCCCAGATGCCCAGCCCCCTCATCTTCTGTCCCCCACAGGTCCCCCATACGACGTGCAGGTGTCCGAAGTGCGGGCCACCTCTCTGATGCTGCGGTGGGAGCCCCCGATGTACACAGGGGCTGGGCCAGTCACGGGCTACCACATCAGTGTCCAGGAGGAAGGCTCTGAGGAGTGGAAACAGGTCAACCCAGACCCCATCTCTGGCACCCACTTCAGGGTAAGTTCCTACCCCTTCATCTTCCAACCCTGCCACTGGATGTGGCTGGCAGAACCACTGAATGTGGCAGAACCACTGAATGTGGCAGAACCACTGAATGTGGCAGAACCACTGAATGTGGCAGAACCACTGAACACTCAGGATACAACCACCCTCAGCGAACACTGCCTTATCTTGTTGGCAGCACAGGACCAGAGAAGGAGAGCGACTTAACCAAGGCCACACTGCAAGTTGGCAGTAAGTTCAGCTGGCCACTGGCCTTACTCTGCTCAGTGCTGGGCAGATTTCTCCCTAAAAAACTCACTCAGGAATAAGACCTGGCCAGACATAGTGGCATATGCCTGTAATTCCAGCACCCAGGAAGCTGAGGCAGGAGGATCACTATCAGTTCAAGGCCAGCCTGGGCTACAAAGTGATTTCAAGGCCAGCCTGAACCACATAGTGAAACCCTGTTTCAACAAAGAGACAAGAAATAAATAAATAAGAAGTGAGCCCAGGATATCAGCAAGTAGATACGCATATCTCTCAACCCGGGAAGTCCACTTCTAGGGTGGAATTGTAGAGAAAGAATGAGGCAAATGTGGAAGGACCTACGGATGGTAATCGTCACTGTAGCCTTGTAGCTAAAGCCAGAAACAGGGCCGGGGAGATAGCTCAGTAGAATAAGCGCTTGCTGGCAAGCGCAGGGTCCTGAGTTCAATCCCCGGTACCACAAAAAGAAAAAAAAAAGAAAAAAAAAAAAAAAAAAAAAACAGAAATAACTTAATTATCTGCCAGAAGATATTTGCTGTAGTAAATTGTAGTGTCCTTCATATAGAATCCTGTGCCAGGGGCCAGTGAGATAGCTCAGCAGACTAAGTGCCTGCTTAGGCAAGCTCAGGGACTGGGCTTCGATCCCTGGCAGGACATGTCGTGCTGGCCCTGCCCCCAGAGCGTGCTGAGCTGGCCCCAGAGTCTGGGCATGGCATCACGTGCCCGTAATCCCTGTGCTAGGGAGGCTGAAAACAGGAGGGTCACTAGGAGTCCGAACTGCATAGTGAGACCCTGTACCAAATACATTAAAAAAAAAAAATTCTGCTTCAGGTAGTATAAAGCATAAGGAGCAGCAGTAGTATAAAGGACAAACTAGACTTTCATTTATCACCATAAAAATACACCAATCGTATGCAGGTAAGAAATAAAAGCAACCAGGTGCACGCCTGTCATCCCAGCACTCAGGAAGCTGAGGCAGGAGGATCTCTGTGAGTTCAAGGCCAGCCTGAGCTACATATAAGACCCTGTTTCAAAAAAAAACTGAAAAATGAAAGGAAGGAAGAAAGGGAAGGAGGGAGAGAGGGAAGAAGGAAGGAAAAAGGAAAAAGACAAAGCAAGAGAGTAAGATTTTATGTTTAAATAGCACATAGCCTACAGTATCTATATTCATAGAGAAAAATGTGTGCAGACAAATGTTTCTTAATTTAAATAAGAAACAAACTTTAACCCCTTGGATCAGTAAGCAATGTAGTCATACTGGTTTTGAGAGATGCACATGATGAACAATCCCTCTGCCTTCCTGGGGGTGACCCCAGGCCAGAACGGTGGCTTGGCCTCTGTGTCTGCATGGGCCAGGTTGGCTGCCACTTGGCCACTCATTACCCACTTCCTGACATCTAAAGGTAAGCAAATGACAGTCCCTGGGTAGCCGCAATGATAGCGTGGTGTGAGGACGGCAGCCGTGGAGGGAGGTGGGCATGCTGACAATTTGGGGGTTGTCTTAGTTACTCTTCACTCGTTGCTGGAACAAATATCCGACACTCAAATTAAAGGAAGGAAAGGTTTATTTAGCTCACAGTTACTGGAGGTTTCAGTCCATACTCAGCTGGGTCCAATGCAGAGCAGCACAGAGCAGAGGGCAACCTTTCATGGCAGTGGCAAAGAGCAAGAGCGAGGGAGGGGTAGCAGCAGCTCAAGCAGCTGGCTTCTCTTTCCTCACACTGAAATGCAAATTACCTGCCCCAGGGCAGGTGCAGCAACCACACCCACAGTATCAATCACAAACTCCAGAAGCCACCCCTAGACTGCATGAGGCTTTGGGGGGACACCTAAACACAAACCATAACAGGGGTGACAGAGGACCCCAAATAATCCAAGTAATATAGGGGAAATATTGTAACTCCCAGCCCGCTAGATGTCTAATCTGCCGAGTTCATGTTCTCTGAAATCAAAGAATAATTCTAAGGCATAATGGAGGTTAAAAGGAGGAAATATTTATTGAGGGAAGATAGCGTCTATTTAAGAGAGGCAGAAGGGGACCCGGAATGCAGGTTGCCTCAGACTCCATGTCCAGGGGAGGGATTACAGAACAGAACTACACAATAGATACAGAGTCACGTGGTGGGTAGAAGGTGCGACAAAGCTATGGTCATCCAGTAAGTTTACAAGTATGGTTGCTTGGGTGATGCTGATCCAGTGCGGAAGCAAGTCATGTAGCAAGTGTACACGGAAAGCACAAGGCGCTTTCCTGGAAGGGATGGTCAAGGAGGTCTTGGTCCTCCCCCCGGGTGACTGATGACTTTATGGGGATTGTCTCCCCCTGGGGAAGTATGTGGCTGTGGAGGGACAGCTCAGCGAACTTAGCCCTGTGGCGCCTCCAGCCACAGGTGGAATGCGTTCTCCTCCTCTGCACTGACTCCTCCGAGGGTCATGCCCTGTCCCACTGCCTCTGATAGCTTCGCCCGGCTTAGCTCTCTAAGTGGTCAGAGCCACATCCTGGGAGCCTTTGTCTGTCTGCCCCAGTTGAGCAGCACAGGAAGCCTGAGCTGGGGTCGGCCAGACGGAACAGTCCAAGCAGAGAGCTCCGCAAGATCAAAGGCAGGGCGACAGGTGGAAAGGACGCCCTGACCGTGCAGACCCCAGAAAGCCTTGGAGCGAAGGGAGTTAGAGCGGTTTGGGTTCTTACTCGTGATGGGGAAAGCACTGCCAAGCACACACCTCATAGGATGTGTGAGTTTATTGTGAATCTTGGGGCAGGGAAGGCAAGAAAGGGCCTTTGTAGTTCAGGCTGCCCGTCTGTGTAGGGTCTTAGGTGCCTCCCACTGGCTCTCTTTTTTGATGTCAGCAATCTGCTTGACCTCCTAACCCTAAGCCTGAATACTGCTTGGCGAGGTCTGTGTTTATGGGTGGAACAAAAGAGGAGGCTCACCCAGCTTCCCTGTCTGAGGATTGATGACAGATGATGCGCACCCCATGGGATGGTGCAGTGTCCACAGATGAATGAAGGAAAGGAAGCGATTGCTGCTGATTCTCATTGTGCTACAAGGACGAAGGTCAAGGCAGATTAGAAGACTTCAGGTTCTAAACATCCAAGCTGACCCCTTGACTCTCAGAGTCACTAAAAGATGGGGGCATAATCAGATTGACAGAGGGAAAATCACACTGGAGATGGGTCCAGGGGCAGAAACCCCATTTAGGAAACTTGGCCAATCCAGGTAAGGGGAAATAAAGCTTCAGTCAGGGAGTGGCCCTGGCATGGAGGGAGGGATCATGTGCAGGAATCCTAAGGGAAAGGAAACTGGCAGAACTCGGTGACTGGGTGAGAAGGGCTGAGGAAAAGGACATCCATGCCAGTATGGCAGTGCACACCTGAAACCCCAGTGCTCGGGAGGCTGAGGCAGGAGGATTGCTGCTTTGAGGCCAGCTTGGGCTATAAAGTGAGTTCAAGACCAGCCTGGACTGCATAGTGGACCCTGTCTAATAAAAGAGAAGAAAAGGGGCCAGCGAGATAGCCCAGCAAACTAAGCACTTGCTTAGGCAAGCACAGGGACTGGGGTTCGATCCCCAGCACCACATGCTGTGCTGACCCCACCCCTGGGTTCACTGAGCTGGCCACCAAAACTGGGCATGGTGGCACATGCCTGTAATCCCAGTGCTAGGGAGGCCGAAAACAGGAAGATCACTAGGAGTCTGAGCTGCGTAGTGAGATCCTATACCAAATACATTAAGAGAGAGAGAGAGAGAGAGAGAGAGAGAGAGAGAGAGAGAGAGAAGAAAATCCAAAATAATGATCCCAGACCTGCCTCTGGCTGTTGGAAGGAAGAGGAAGAAGTAGGAGCAGAGGAAGAGACAAGGGACCCAAGAGAGCAGAGAGGCTTATGGGAAAGAAGAGGCTGAATTAAGCTTCAAGAAGGAGCCAGGGGCCAGGGCCTGGGAGGTGAGCAGAGGCCAATGTGGTGGTGAACACCTGTAGTCCTAGGACCTCTAGGAGGCTGAGGCAGGAGAATAGCAACGTAGAGCCCAACTTGGGCAACTCAGCAACCTAGAGAGACCCTGTCTAAACAACAAACAAAACACTGAGGCTGTATCTCAGTGCCGAGGCACTAAATTCAATCCCCAGTACCACAAAATTGAAATTTCTTTAAAAATTTAAACCTCAAACCCAGGAGGGAGATGTGTTCCACTCCTGCTCCAGGCCCCCAGCAGCCTGCACCCCCGCTAAGCCCTGGGGGAGCGACCCTCACTGTCCTCAGTGCTGGCTTTTGCCCCACCCACAGGTGTCTGACCTACAGACAGGGAAGAGGTACGTGTTCCAGGTGCAGGCCATGAACTCAGCCGGGGTGGGCCAGCCCTCAATGCCCACTGACCCTGTGCTCCTGGAGGATAAGCCAGGTAGGAGGCAGGGGCGCCGCACTCCCCTGCTGGGCTCGGAGGGAGCTGGGGGTGCAGAGCACAGAACAGAGTATGCAGGCCCTTTCCCCACCTGCTCCAGCCTGCAGCTTCTTCCAGCATGTCTACATCCCCACTGGCTTTTGTCCCTGTCCCCAAACCCAGTCCTGTCTGTGGGACTCGAGATGGGAGCATCCTTTTTAGGTAGGCTTGACCTCTTTTTTTTTTTTTAATCATTCATTCAACATCATTTGCTGGCGCCCACCTCTCAGTGAGGACACAGCAGGCCCTGCTCTGGGAATAGCAGAAAGAAGGCACGGAGTGGACAGATGTGAGGGAGTGAACCAGATGGGAAGGCGGTGGTTTAAGATAGTGATGGGTGCTGGGGAGGGCATGAAACATGGTGTGATGGGAACTCGAGCCAAGGCAGTTGGGGAAGGCTTCTCAGAGCAGGCGACATTGGAGCTGACAAACAGCCAGATCATGCAAGGCTTTGCTGGCCACCTGAAGGAGTCTGGGGCTGGAGAGTTAGCCCAGTGCAGTGCCTGCCTGGGAAGCGTGAGGTCTTGAGTTCAACTCCTAGTGCCCCCCAAACACAAAAGAGTATAGTGTTACTCAGTGCAGTGGCAGCCACGGGAGGGCCTGGGGGTGGGGGTGGGCAGATGTACTGTTTATAAACATCTGGTGTCCCCCCACTGGATCTCGCCCCCAGGTGCCCATGAGATCGAGGTTGGTGTGGATAAAGAAGGCCAGATCTACTTGGCTTTTGAAGCCCCCGAGGCCCCCGATGACTCAGAGTTTCAGTGGTCTAAAGATTACAAAGGCCCACCGGACCCCCAGAGGGTCGAGATCAAGGATGAAGTGAACAAGTGAGTGAGGGGTGCGGAGGAGACACGGCTGCTCACAGGACCTGAATATCGGGGCACGAGGCTGAGCTGAGCTCAGTCAGCCGCTCCTCCGCTGTGAACACCTGGGGAGAAAAGAGGGGAGAGGGCGATTGCGGGACTGATGTGGTGATGCTCTTTTGAGATAGGGTCTCACTGTGTAGCCCATGCTGGCATTGAACTCACAGCGACTGTCCTGCCTCAGCCTCCCATGTGCTAGGATTACAGGAACGCACCGCCATGCCCAGCATGGAGATGTTCTTTAAAAGTTCTTTTTCCATAAGGAACTGCACTGGGGCTGGTGAGATGGCTCAGTGGTCTAAAGCACCTACTTAGAACAAGCTTAGCAAAGCCCAGGGACCACGGTTCAATCCCCCAGCACCACATGCCAGCCAGCCCGCCCCCTGGTGGACTGAGCTGGCCACACACACACACACACACACACACACATAAATAAAATTTAAAAAAAATAAAAACATTTAAAAAAAAGGAACTGCACTGTTTCTGCCCTAAGAAGACCCATGGAGCCAGCAGCTTGCCACTGCAAGACTCGGCTTTCTCGTCATACAGAGAGTTGGACCCTGAGACACAAGGGTCTCTGCCTGCCTCTGCGTCTCACTTGCCTCCCCCTGCAGGAGAGAAAGCCCTGAGGGAAGACAGGGCGGTCTGGTGGCAGGTCCAGCAGACCCTGTACCACAGAGCCCAGCTAACAGGGCCAACAAAGTTGCCTATCCAGAGGAGACCCCAAGGAAGGGCAGGAAGGCAGCTGCCCTGCTTCCCACCTAGGTGGGGCCTGTGACAGTTCAGGCCACCAAGCACAAAAAGCCACTCAGCGCCTCTGCCCTCCTCTCTCTACCAGGTCCCAGGTCATCCTGAAAGAGCCCAACCTTCAGGACTTGGGCACCTACTCAGTGGTCGTCACGGATGCTGATGAAGACATCTCTGCAAGCCACACGCTGACTGAGGAAGGTTAGGTCCTTGCCCCCACCACGTCCCCCAGGAGACAGACCCCAGTCCAAGTCCAAACACAAATGCCCTAACGGCGAGCAAGGAGCAGCCCTCGGCCACCACGCACTCAACCAGCCAACCACTTACCACCCAGTGGACACCTGACTCCAGCCAGGCTCTGTCCTAGGTTCTGGGAATGACACCAGGATGCAACAGACAAAAATCCCTGCCTGGTAAAATTCACGTTCTCCTGATCTCCCTTTCATCTTCCCACTTTTGACAAAAGCAAATTATCTGGAATTATTTTGTTTCCTTCTTTAGCCTAAGAAAAATGAGGGTGTGAGGGTGATAATGAATTGCGAGGAGCTGTTGTCAGGAGGGCCTGGTCCAGCCGGTAGCCAATCAGAGAAAGGTGCTGTGTCTGAAGGTGCCTGTGGCACTCAAACCCAGGATGAGGTGCTCTGCTGTCTCCCTACCAACAGGGACCACCTATCCCCATCATCTCTCCTGCTCACTGCCTTTGGGTTTTGCTAAAATCAAGGGCCAGAGACACTGGGTCACAATGCCAGTTTTCAAATGCTTGGCTTCTTGACCCTGGGCGAGTCATGTCACCTCCTGTACCTCAGTTTCTTCATCCGTAAAGGGTCGCTGTGACCCCTGGCTGCCGCTTCTGAAGCAGTGTTGCTACACGGTTACAAACATGCCTGTGCAAACCAAAGTCATCCTCTACAGTGATGCAGTCTGTTGTTTTGATGGGTGCTAAGGATTCTGGGCTTTGTCAGGGAAAAGGAAGCTGGGCTCTGAGCCTGCCAAGCCATCCCTGCAGTGATTTATAGAGTACTTACTGTGTGCTGGACACTCACATCTGTCCAGAGCTCATGCCACAGGACAGACAAACCCAACAGAAAGGCAGTGAGCAGATGGGGCCGCCACCCTCTGCAGGGCACCGGGACAGGATGGGACCTCATTAACAGTAGGGCTCAGGGGCTGGAGAGATGGCTCAGTGGTCTAAAGCACCTACTTGAAACAAGCTTGGCAAAGCATAGGGACCGCGGTTCGATCCCCAGCACCACATGCCAGCCAGCCCCGCCCCCTGGTGGACTGAGCTGGCCACACACACACACACACACAATAAATAAATGTAATAAATAAAAATAAATAAATATTAAAAAAAAAAACAGTAGGGCTCAGGACCCCATGGCCCTGGAGTGGCCAGCAGCAAGTGGGGTGCTCAGTCCACCACACTGTGTGACTCCACTGAGGTCATGCGTAGGCTGGCACACAGTAGGTGCTTGTCTCGGGAGGTAAGGCTTGGTCCAGACCTTGAATGACAGGAAAGCCGTGCGATCTCGGGGTGGCCAGCAGCAGCAACCCCAGAATCTCCTTCCCCAGTGCCTCAGGGCAAGGCCTGCGCTCACCCTCAGCCCCTGTGCAGCAGGAAATCAAGGAGCATCTCAGGACTCACTCGGCGTGTGACCCCAGGTGGCCCTAGGGGTCCCCTGGGACACGGATATTTCACACTTGCTGCTTCCTTCTTTGCTCTTCCTGCCAGAGCTGGACAAGCTGAAGAAGTTGAGCCACGAGATCAGAAACCCAGGTGAGCGTTGAAGCTGTAGCTACCGAGGACACTTCCCAAGCAGCGCAGGCTGGGAACTAACCCCAGGTGGAGGCAGGGGGTGGGATGGGGCTGGAGGTCAGGGGCCAAGAGAGTCCACAGAGGAAAAGGGGCGGCCAGGGGGGCCAAGCCCGTGCAAGAAGGGAAGGCCACAGTCATTTCCTCTTAATTATTATCATTGGCTCTTCACTCATTTAAATTTTGGCCCATCTAACCCTCTGCATCCTTCCTTTGGCGAGGGTGGTATGCTCAGTCCTGGAGGGGAGGCCACAGACTGGGCCACACATTGGAACCACTCCAGGAGCAGTGGCCAAACCACACCCTGGACAGATCGGAGCCACTGGGGTAGAGCCCAGATACCAGTGGTTTATGTTGCGTGGGGGGCTGGAGGGGCTGTTTGTTTTGTTTTCAGATGTTTTATTGGCTTGGGGGCTTTTTTGAGATAGAGTCTCACTATGTAGTTCAGGTTAGCCTTGAACTCATTATTTAGACCAGACTGGCCTCTAACTTGCTGTAATCTTCCTGCCTCAGCTTTCCCAGCTCTGAGATTACAAACCTGTGCCACCACACCTGGCACAAATGTTTTTGAAAGTCTTCAAGAATCTAGTGCTCGTCCAGTTTGAAAACCATAGCCCCCTTCAGAGCCCTGGAAAGGGAAACGCTTTGTGGAGATCAACGCGATCCAGAGTCAGTTTGGTGGTGCACTGTGGTGGCACGCACCTGTAATCCCAGCACTTGGGGGCCAAGGCAAGGGGATTGCTGAGAATTTGAGGCCAGCCCAGACTGAATAGTGAGACACTGTCTCAAAAAGACAAAACCAGCACCAGCCGACAGAAAGCCCTCCTGATGGAGCCAGGGAGATGGCTTAGTGGAATAAGTGCTTCCCTGGCAAGCGCAAGGGCCTGAGTTCAATCCCCAATTCCCCGAAAAAAAAAAAAAAAAAAGAAAAGAAAAGAAAGAAAGCCCACCTGAGCCCCGAGCCGAGTGCAGCTGCCGTTGGTTCTCCATGCAGTGTGCAGCTGCCCTCTGCGGGTGCACGTGGGCCTGGCAGGGAGGGAAGCGAGGACCCCACCCTTGCCCTTCCCGCCCTGTGCCTTGCAGTGATCAAACTGATCTCCGGCTGGAACATCGACATCCTGGAGCAAGGAGAGGTGCGGCTGTGGCTGGAGGTGGAGAAGCTGTCTGCCGCTGCGGAGCTGCACCTCATCTTCAACGAGAAGGAGATCTTCAGCTCGCCGGTAGGGGGCGCTCACGGTCCCTATGGAGACCTCCACCCCACTCCCCACACCGAAGTGGCCTGCCCTGGCTCCCCTGTGGGGAGCCACAGTGGGCATTTCAGAGAGGGCCGCGTGCTGTAGATATAGAGGAAGGAAACTCCCAACCTGAAAGGCACCTGGAACGAGTTTGTGTTCTCTAAAACCAAAAAATGAATTTTAGGAACACACGGAGGTTATGAGCAGAATATATTTATTGGGGGGAAAAAGCTCCTGTCCGAGAGAGGGACAAGAGGGGGGCCCCAAGTGGGTGACCCCTGGAAGCTGTCTCTTCCAGGGACTTTTATAGAGTAAAACCATAAGGGTCTAAGGTGGAGAACATGAGAACTCACTTAGGTGGGCATGAGGTGGGACAAAACTATGGTGAACCAATAAAGCTACAAGCACCATTGCTCAGGTAAAATTGATTAGATCCAGGACCAAATGCGGAAGTGAGTCACATAGCAAGCGGGCATGAATATAGCACACGGGTTTATCCAGTAGCCAGTAGGGATTGGATTAGTTCCTCTTCCTGGCTTCCTCAGAGTGATTGATGACCAATCCCAGATGCTTATCTTTAGTGGCTGTAAGCATTTGTCCGACCTTTAGGTCTGGCTCACAGCAGGAGCATCCGTCTCTCTCACAGTTGCAAGGTATCTTGTCTTCCGTGCTGTCGCCTTGAGGGCCTGGCCCTGTCTCACTGCCTATAATATTTCTAATTCTGCTGCCTACAACGCTGTGCCTGCCCCTGATGTCGTGGGGATGGGAACCTGGAGTTTAGTACGCAGGAAAAAGAGGCAGGATGCTGGGTGCTGGCCAGTGCAAGGGACACTTCCACAGAGGGTTTTCCATACCCCTACGACTTTTGAGTGTCCCACCAGATGGTCTTCAGGTGGACGCCTGCGCTTGTGCTGATGAGTATCCACGTCTAGGCCCTCGCCCTGTTTTCGGCACGGACGCGAAGTGCTCTTATGCCAGGTGTGGTGGCGCACGCCTGTAATCTCAGAACTTGAAGGCTGAGGTGGGAGGATTGCCTTGAGTTTGAGGCCAGCCCGGTCTGCATAAGTGAGTTCAAGGCCAGCCTACACTACATAGTGAGACCCTGCCTCAAAAAAAGGTGCTCTGGCCGAGCCTAACGTACATTCGACAGAGAATTCATAATTCTGTCTGCCACTTTTCTTGTGCTCATTCACCCATTTTTCTGTCTTGAACAGACTAGGTTCAATCTTTTTGCTTTTCTCTACTTCATTTTTTTTTAATTTTTATTTATTTATTTGTGTGTGTGTGTGTGTGTGTGTGTGTGTGTGTGTGTGGTCAGCTCAGCCCACCAGGGGGCAGGGCTGGCTGGCATGTGGTGCTGGGGGATTGAACTGCGGTCCCTGTGCTTTGCTAAGCTTGTTCTAAGTAGGTGCTTTAGACCACTGAGCCATCTCACCAGCTTTTCTCTACTTCAAACCACCTCATTAAATCAGAACAGCATGAGTGAGAGTTTGTCCAAGTGTCTACATAGTAAATTTCATGTGATTTGAAATAATTTTGTATCTTTCCTATTACAGTGAGACTATTATTTTTATTTTCAGGTTTTTGTTTTTTCTTTTGTATTTAGTACAAGATGTACGGGGTCTCCCTACACAGATTGGACTCGTAGTGATCCTCCTGTTTTTCAGTCTCCCGTGTGCTGGGATTACAGGCGTGCGCCATCATACCCGGTCTCCATGGCTGGCTCAATGCACCTGGGAGCAGGGTCAGCAGGGCACGTGGTGCCAGATCGAACCCCAGGCCCTGTGCTTGCCTAAGCAAGTGCTTAGTCTGCTCAGCTAACTTGCTGAGCCTTTTTTTTTTTTTTTTTTTTTTTTTGGTACTAGGGATTGAATTTGGGATCTTGTACTTGCCAGGCAGACACTTATGCAGGCTGAGCTATCTCTCCGGCCCCTATTATCTTTTATGTTATCCAAATATATTTTTGTTGCTTTTTTGAGACAGGGTCTCACTATGTAGCTCAGGCTGGCCTCGAATTCATGGTACTCCTCCTGCCTCAGCCTCCAAGTTCTGAGAATGGGCATGCGCCACCACACCCAGCACCTTCATATACTTTTATGGGGTTTCTCCCTATGAAATTGTAAAAGATGAAGGAAATAACCAACAACAAGGCACAGCAGGGAAGAGCGGGTGATCGTTACCACGTGACTAATTCAAGCACCAGGAAGTGTTCTCAGGGCCCGGTGGCTGAGGCACCCCAGCCTACGCTGGCAGAACAGGGTCTGGGAAGGCTGAGAGCTCTGCGTGGTCCACAAGCTCAACTCCACCCTGAGGCATGGCCTACAGCCTGTTCACAAGAGAAGTGACCAACAGCACTTGGGCTTTGTTCTCCCCAGAACCGCAAAATCAACTTTGACCGTGAGAAGGGCCTGGTGGAAGTGATCTTCCAGCACTTGTCTGAGGAGGACAAAGGCTCCTACACCGCTCAGCTCCAGGATGGGAAAGCCAAGAACCAGATCACCCTGGCCCTGGTGGACGACGGTCAGCCCCGCATCCTGCCCCCCTCCCCCGGGTCCCCGGCCTGTCCCAGCTCCCACTCCAGGGCCTGCTGAGCCCATTCCCCACCTCCAGTCCACCTGATGACCGCCGGGAACCAGAGCTCTTCTCGGATGGTGCCAGCCTCTCCCAATGTGTTCGCAGATTTTGACCAACTTCTGAGGAAGGCAGATGCCAAGAGAAGAGACTGGAAGAGAAAACAGGGTAAGAGCTAAAGGGCGAAGACCAAAGACCTCAGGCCACTGTGCTGGAGAAGTATGACCTCGGAGCTCAGAGGCCCCTACCACCACCCCAGAGAGTTCCACGGCGACTCGGTCCACCTCTCTCCCGGTGCCAGATCAAACCAGCGCTTTCCCGGCCCCAGTGTGATTGCTGGCACCCCGGACCCCGCCCGCGGCGCATCTGGCGAGCGGATCTTAAACCCAGGGTTCCTAGCCTCCTTCCCAGCTGGCTTCCACAGTCTGGCCGCCAGGTGGCGCCCGCCTCAGCCTGGAGCACTGACCAGTGGGCGTTTTCTCTTGGACTCGCAGGTCCCTACTTCCAAGAACCTTTGCAATGGAAGGTCACCGAGGACTGCCAAGTGCTGCTGACCTGCAAGGTGAGTCCCTGCCCCACCTGCGGCCACGGCACGTCCTGCTGGCTGTCTCTGCCCACTCCACCCCCCAAATTCCATCCCTAGAGTTTGGCAGTAGGATCCTCAAGGTGGCCCAGCCTTGAGCTCAATCCTCAGAAGGTGTCCAGATGGACTGGGATGCTGGGGTCTGGAACATAGAGGGGTCCCCTAGGCTTATTGTCAGCACTGCTTAGGGTGTTACAGTAGTACTTCGTTTCATCATCCCCCCACCCCATCACCCCTGAGACAAGCACTGTTATCCTCACTTTAAGGATGAAGGGCTGGGCTCACTCAGTAGAATAAGTGCCTGCCTGGCAAGCACAAGGTCCTGAGTTCAATCCCTAGTACTTGGGGGGGGGAGGATGAAAGAGCAAATAGGGAAATCTTCCCAAGCCTCAGGCAGGGGCCAGGAGTTAACCAAGACTGCCTGACTCCAGAGCCTCCTGTCTTTTCCAGCGCACTGCAGCCTCTTAGATAACTGGGAAGGACAGGCTCAGAGGATGGATTAATCCCCCCAGAAGCAGATTCATCCAGTGAATTCAAAGCACCCACTAAGCACCAGATACTGGCCCACAAGGATGAAGACCTGGTGTCCTTAGGCTTGCAAGCCCAGGGCCCAAGTCAGGGCCATTGGAATGTGGGTGCCTATGTCCAACCAGATGTGCACAGGAAGTTGATTGATCACAATAGGAGGGGACAGAGGCAGAGGATTTCCTGGAGGAGGTGACATCTGAGTCTAAGGAAGGGGTATAGGCATGGGCTGGAGGCGTGTGCATAAGGTCCGGGCTTACATCCCCAGCATGGGGACAGCAGAGGAGAGGGGTAGATATTTACAAGGAAAACAAAAGGGAGAAGGGATAGAGGTGCAGGATCCCAGCCTTTGGTCTGATCATGGGGGAAGGGGTGATGTTTGTAATAGGAAGTTGTGATGAGCTGAGTTTTTACTTGGGAAAAGACAATGTGATAGAGTCTTTCACACCCCGCTGTCCTCAGGTGACCAACACCAAGAAGGAGACCCGCTTCCAATGGTTCTTCCAGAAGAGAGAGGCGCCCAATGGCCAGTACGACCAGCAGACCGGGGAAGGGCTTATTCGCATTGAAGAGGTAAACACACTTCCGGTTCCAGGGCTCACACCCTCCCTTAGCTGCATGCAGGCTGGGGCTGGGGTCCACAGCAGGGCTAGCACTAAGGTGAGACAAGCAAGACTTTCACTCTGGGGCTCAAGATTTAAGGAGCACCAAAAATGCATTAACAAGATACATAATATTTTGTGCCTTATTTTTTAAAAATCAAAACACCCCCCCCAAAGGAGAATAAAGAAAAGCACAATCAATATTTTCAGCAAAGATAAACCAGTTTTACTGCCTTTCCCCTCTGCTGGGGCTCCAGGCTTGAGCTGCCTCTCCCTGACCTCCATCTTCATCTATAAAGAGGCTCTCAACAATCCTTCCTACACCCACAGCCCAGGATTGAGGACAGGAACAAGACCTTCCTGTCAGGGCACAGCAAAGCGGGTCTGGAGCTCTGTTCTCCCACTCAAGTCTTCCCCTATATTCGGGGTCTTCAAAGGGGAGGAGAAGCACAAGGCTTGGTCCTGTCCAATGAGTGCTTCTCTGGCCAAATGCCGGTGCCATGTGACCTCTAGGGGTCTGGTGCAGTCTAGCTTGCCCAAGTTCGCACAGCTATTGGGAAGAAAATAACCATTTCAGGGTCTTCTGTAAATCCTGGCTAGGACAATCCATGTCATCAGCCTGTCACCATAGGGCAAGCCCCTCAAACAGGGCATGGAATCAAGTAGATGCCTAATAGTTGTGGGGCGCCTGCTGGTACAGAGCTTCCCTGGCTTTCTGAAGTGTGTCATAGCTTGGTTAAGAGCTGCCACTGCCTGGGTCCTGCCCCAGACCCCTTTGTAGTAATGGGTGTGGCCTCTGCCCCCAGTCTCTCCTTTTCTTCAGGCCCAGACCAGCCTTAAGCTAGAAATCAGCAGGCTCTGAACTAGCCAGGGCCCAGAGGGGTACACTGAGGCCCAGGGAGAGAAGGAAGGCCTTGGCTGAGGCCACCCAGAGAGCACGGCCCTCCTGACTTGGTGTCTCTCCTTCGGGAACCCACGCTAACGCTGCCACCTCTCATCCTCCTTCCCAGTTGTCCAAAGAGGACAAAGGAATTTACAGAGCAGTGGTTTCCGATGATCGTGGGGAGGACGACACCATCCTGGACCTCACAGGTGAAGGTAGGTGCTGGCTATTGGCGTTCGAAATGGGCCAGGAAGGCTGGGACAGTCAGTCTGGAGACTGTGGTAGGACCTGGGGGTGAGAGTATAGAATCCTCATGTCCGTTGGGGACGCTGAGGCATGAAGGGGTTCAGTGACTTGCCCAAGTTTGCCCAGCCAGGCAGCGGCAGGGACCTGAAGTGTGTGGCTGTGACGCCCAGTCCCTGCAGTACACCCCAAACTCCGCCCAAAGCCTGTGCTCACCCCTCTGCTCTGCTCAGCCTGCGAGAGAGTCCTGAGGTTGGCCCTTTGCCCACCATCGCTGAGGGCCTCAGATGTCCTCCCACTCTGCAGCCACCCTGCAGAGCCCCCTGTGCCCAAGGGCAGCTCCCCCAGCTTGTCCAAGGACATCCCCACCCCTGCCTATCCCCAGGGGAGCACACAACAGCTGACCCTTCTCTGTCTCCCTGCAGCCCTGGATGCCGTCTTCACTGAGCTGGGCAGGATCAGTGGTAAGCAAACCTACCTCTTCGCACAGTCCTGCCCAGATGCCAAAGAGCCTCCCGGGGCCTCCCACCTGCTTTGGCTGCTGGGGCTGGATCTGTATGCAGCTTCAAGGACTGGGAGAAGAGGTCCTGCCTCTTCATAGAGCTGTATCCCCACCCCATGATCCCCCAAGGCAGGAGAGAGTTGGCTGACCCCTAAACACGCTGCCCAGAGTGACTTGGGAGGGACTTGTCTTTCTCTCTGCCTCTGTAGCCCTCTCTGCAACTCCGCTGAAGATCCAGGGCACGGAGGAGGGCATCCGGATCTTCAGCAAGGTCAAGTACTACAACGTGGAGTACATGAAAACCACCTGGTTCCACAAGTAGGTCGGCCTTGTACCTATGTCCTTAGAAGGACCCTGATCTCAGAGCACCACCGGCCAATGGCAGAGGGAGGGACAGAGAAACAAAGAACTAGGTAGTCCAGTAGGTGCCTGTGGGTCTCTGCAAACTTAGCAAACTGTGCCCAAGGGTTATGGAGAAGGGGTGAAGAAAGGGGCCTGTGAGGCTGACAGCCAAGTGAAGGCTGCATCCAGAAAGTGGACAAGACAGTGTATCCACTGAGCCAGGAGCTCGGTCACCCCAGACAGCTGGAGAACAGAATTCTCCCCCAGCTTCTTCTTATACCTTCGCCCCCTTGGCCTCACAGAGCAGTCACCGCTGTACCCATTCTACAGACTGACTTGGTCGAGGGTATCAAATGCAGCAGATCCAAGGTCAAAGAGACTCTCAGGACAACGAGGCTCCTTCTGCAACCAGTTTCTGAGCCCTGGCAACAGACAGGGGCAGCAGAACACTGGGATGCGTGCTAGGTGTCATCAGGCATGAAATTTAAGTAAAAAAGGGAAAGACTTTGATCTTGGCATATACCATTCTGAACAGTCGAAGAGAAGGATTGTAGGAAGGAACTTTGGGAGGCTTGAGGAAGAGAAAGAAGTGGAGAAGAAATGGTTCAAATAGCAGTCACTGCCCCTCATACACTGTTTTCTTGGGGTCCCTACACCTTGGGACCCACGACACACGTAGCACTTGTGCACAGCTAGGTGCCACCAACTGAATGAATGAAGGTGTGGAGGGTTGAATGATGGGCATCCGTATGACGAAGGGAGGACTGGTTGAATAGTGAATGAGAAATTGCATGGATCCGCATCGGGTGTCTCACGGGTAGTCTGCACGCCAAAAGATGAACGCCACATGTAGACCTGCAGCTGCCGACCTTGACCACTTCCCTGTCACTGCCCACAGGGACAAGCGCTTGGAGAGCGGTGATCGGGTTAGAGCAGGCACCACCCTGGACGAGATCTGGCTTCACATCCTGGACCCCAAAGACTCAGACAAGGGCAAATACACCCTGGAAATAGCAGCTGGGAAGGAAGTCCGGCAGCTCTCAACGGATCTCTCAGGGCAAGGTGAACTGTCCACTTGTCTGTCTGCTCAGAAGCCTGTTCAGAAAATCCCACGGTCCCCCCTCACCAAAAATCCCCTTCTCCCCACCCTATCCTGTCACTGCCCCAGGGGAATACTGGAACAGGGAGGAGAATGGAGGACAGTTGGGGCTGAGCCCTGTCCTGGGGTCCCACTGCAGAGACCTAACACTCCCTCTTCCCTACCACCCATTCCATCTTGCAGCTTTTGATGACGCCCTGGCCGAACACCAGAGACTGAAGTAAGTTTCCTCCACATTTCTCAGCACAAGTCATGGCCCCCTCCCCAGGCTGGGGCATGAACTGCGCGCAAGAGCCCCTCAGCTCTGCCTTTCCCCTGTCGTCCCTGATCCCCTGGGACTAGTGGAGCCCACGCCTTCTTCCCATTTCTGTTTTTCAGAGCCTTGGCGATCATCGAGAAGAGTAAGACCCCCCATGTTTCTGTGGTTTTGCTTCAGATGTGGGGTGGGCGTCCATGGAGTCCCAAGTCCACCGTAGGGTTTGCGGGGCTCTGGTGTCACACGGTGCTGCTGGGCAGTGGTGATATGAAGGTGACCAGACAAGTTCCAGGGACCTGAGATCATGGTTGGAGACAAGCCCCGCAGGGACTATGGGACCCAGTGCTGGGAGTCTGGGCTCCCTGACCCTGGCAGTGATGGGAAGGGGCACTTCAGTGAAGCACAGGCCTGGGCAGCAGGGCGCCGTAGCCCTGTCAGCCTGACCACAAGAAAGGAGGCTCGGTGGTTACACAACACGGACAGGAACGCGGAAAGGCTGCCGGCGCAGACGCAGTTAGCACCTCCCCATGTGACACCCTTGTCTCTGAGCGTCCCAGTGACACGGAGGATGAAACTAGAACGGGAAAATGCAGACCTGGAGGTCCTAACCATGGTCCAGACCATCTTGGTGTCTCAGTGGCCACACAAGGAGGTGTCCTTGAGGGCTGAAGGACGCCAGCCTCAGCCTGCTGCTCCTGAAGGAGGCTGTCACTCACAGAACCCACTTAACTGCTCACCCAGCACGAATGTCCCCCTTGCCTACTGGAATGCCACGCCCTAGACTTGGTGTTCCATGTAGGGTCCTGCTAGTTGAACTCACCTACCTGTGGTTCCAGAGGTTTGTGGAGTCGGAGCCAGTGAAGAAAGTAGATCGCTTCACTGAGGAGTGCCTGGCAGATCTCCCTGTTCCACCGCACCCACCCCTGGGGCATTCCCTGGCGGGTCCAGGGCCCTGGGGCCCTGCTCCCCTTCTGGGCACTGGACAGACACCGTCCAAGTCGGGCTCCACACCCCTGGTGCAGAGGTGGGGCCGTGCCCTGTGCCTCCTCCCTTCCCTTGGCCTCTGCAGCAGCACAAGGAACACACTTTCTGCTTTCTGTGATTTGCCGCCCCGCTCTCTTCCTGTCCACCCACAGTGGCCACCTGGCCGTTGCCTGGATCAGAGTCACTGTGTCCCAAATGCTCGGACATCTCTTGGTTCTCTCCCTTGGCTGGCAGACAACTGGGTGCTGCCCGTCTAGGTTCAGAGCAATATTATTTGCCTTCTTTCCAAGTCAGTGAGGCGGGGCTGGGAAGATGGCTCAGTGGAATAAGTGCTTGCCTGGCAAGCACAAGGACCTGAGTTCAATCCCCGGTTCCACCAAAAAAAAAAAAAATGCTCTGTTATGCCTCCAAGTCAGTGAGGCCACGGGCACCTCACTGCCACCCCCAGTGGTCCTGAGGATGAGATCATAATGACCTCAACTCGGTGGCAGGAACCCAGCATGTCCTGTCGTCTACTTGTGAAGATAAGCGAGCAAATAACAGTCGTAAAGGTTTCCATCCAAAATGGTGCTCACTGAGGGCCGGGGAGATAGCTCAGTAGAATAAGCACTTGCCTGGCAAGCGCAACGCCCTGAGTTCAAGCCCCAGTTCCAAAAAAAGGTACACATTGAAAGAAGCCTTGGGGCCAGGGAGATAGCTCAGTAGGATAAGTGCTTCCCTGGCAAGCGCAAGAGGCTAAGTTCAAGCCCCCGGTTCCACAAAAAAAAAGAAAAAGAAAAAAATGAAAGAAGCCTTGCTTAAAAATAACCCTCGGGCTGGAGAGATGGCTCAGTGGTCTAAAGCACCTACTTGAAACAAGCTTGGCAAAGCACAGGGACCGCGGTTCCATCCCCCAGCACCACATGCCAGCCAGCCCCGCCCCCTGGTGGGCTGAGCTGGCCACACACACACACACAATAAATAAATTTAATAAATAAAAATAAATAAATAATTTAAAAAAATTATATAAAAAAAATAATAACCCTCAGCCCCAAGGAGACCTGCTCTGGAAAGCAGCTGGCAGGAAGACATTCAGGGGACCTCTCCCATTTCCCTTCCAGATCGAGCAAAGGTTGTGAGGGGCCTGCCGGACGTGGCCACCATCATGGAAGACAAGGTACTGACCCTGCTGGCCACGCCAGCCAGCCGCCTCCACATTCCTGGGGTCCGTCCTAGGTCATCCCGGGTCAGGACACAGTCTAGGTCTGTGGCCAGAGAGAAAGCCACTGAGCCTGGTGTCTGTGCTGCCCCACCCAGCTCAACCCCATTTCTCCAGCCAGCCCATGGCCACAGACTGCCACCCCTGACGTCTGCTTCCACAGGGTTCAGCAGAATGATCCCCAAAATTCTAGTAGGGCTAGAATTACACAAATCTGGTATCTTCAACAATTACAGTTACACCGTTGAGCTATTTGGCTGGCCCAGTAGCTCAATGGACTAAAGCGCCTGCTAAGGTAGACACAGGGGCTGGGGTTCGATCCCTGACCTACTGTGCCAGCCCCACCCCTGGGGTGCACTGAGACTGGGCGTGGTGGTGTGCTCCTGTAATCCCAGCTTTTGGGAGGCTGAACACAGGAGAATCACTACAAGTCTGATCTATGTAGTGAGACTCTGTAGAC